CGATTGATTTCGTTTATATACTGACAGATCTGACAGGCAGGGCAGCCGAAGACTGGCTGAAACGATTTTGGCTTTACGCAGCCACACAGCCCGGGTTTTCCACTTCCGTGTTGTGACCTTGAGTTGAACTGTTCTGCCGATGGAAAACATAACCCGGAGAAGAACCTGGCGGAGAACTGCTCGTCGTGCAAAGGCCCCCTTCAACGTAGTGATTGGGGATCAACCCATGTGTAATGAGAAGCATGTTTTACTGTCTGCACTAACAGCATGTCCGCACTAACAGCCGGGAAGCAACATTTCAAGGACTGCACCTGCAACTCATATGTCGGGAGGGTTTTCCACCGGCACCTAACCACCTCAACCGCAATGGCCCCAATGGTTCTATTCCCAAGAAAGAGTCCAGTGCTTTCCTTCGTAAATGGACTCCCTCCCCTGTAGAGATCAAAGTTTGAACCTGACAAGGGGAAAGAAATCCAGGAGGAACACGCAGGAGACGGAGACGTTGGTTAGGAAAAGTCTCCGCACTTTACACATGGAACCGGCTTTCTTCAGAAATAGATGCAGACGAGCAGTAGCCACAACAAAGGCTAGTCAACCCCCATCGGAAAGCCGCAAGGTCAGCCTCCCCGAGAAAGACCTCCCGTGGTGAAAGGTACATTTCCCTGCGCTAGTATTTGGGCCGCTGCCAGTTGCGTGTTGCCATCCCCTGCCCAACAATCCTCTTCGCATGAATCATCTCCCACAGTCTCAGCTCACGATGCTCTGTGACGAGATGTTGCTCCTTTCCCTCCGTGACACTCCCCGAAGCAAGACATGGAATGGAACCATGGCCCTGAAAGATCATTGCGTCCAAAATAACTTAAGCACGCTGTAATTTACAGTGATCCCTCTGGATCCAACGAAATCCTAACACAAATGGACCCCTCCCAGCCTCCAACCCCCCCAAAATACATACGTGGGCTACGTTGATCCTTTTGTAGGGCCAATTTCACCACCGCCGTCCCTATTCACCCGGGCCCATTCTTCTTCGCCGAGCTGCGCCGAGCTGCGCCGCTGGCCGTGGGCCGTGCGAAGGGCGGCCCGGTGGCACCGGTGGCAGCGATCGTCAAATGCGTGGCACCGATCGGTCTCTGGAAGCTTTGGGGGTGATGTCAAAACTTGTCTTGCTCGTTTTCAGTCTTTTCACCCCTTTGGGCTAGTTGGGCTTAGCGTTTTCTGCGTTTTCATGGGCTAGTTAGGCGAACCTTTCTGGGAAAGAATATGAACGAATCTAAGAACCACTGCTGCCTTTTTGGCGAGAATGAGTTGGGAAGATGCAAACTCCATGAGCTAGGCAGCTAGGTCAGTACAGCAGTGACTCAGCATTGCACCACGTTATACATGAAGTGATGCCCGATGCATCTGCTTAGAGCTGTTTTTGCCGAACCGAGAGGACATGTAAATTATCGAGAAAAAACCGTCACATGATCTACCACCAAAAAAAAGAACACCTCTGTGCAATTGGTGTCTTCTGGGGTGTCGAGTATAGCGCCACTGCCTTCATCTTCCTGCTTTTGATCGGGCCGACGTGGTCTGCGGGCGTCGAACGAATCGGAGGATGGACGAGTCTGCTTTTTTCGACCACACCGGGGGGGAGGTGCATGAACAAGTACGGTATATTGGCCCAAACTTGAGGTGCAAACGACTGAAAGCCCCAAGAAGGAAATGACCCCCGAATGCATCATTGGGTCAAAAGTACGGGCGGAGTGAGGATGCACAGAAACAATGCTCGTTATTTCATGCATCACGTGTCAAATGCTGATTCTCCAAGCCGGGCTGCATGGAAAGTCTGTCATTCATTTGCCACCAACAAAACAAACAAGATCAAACAAAATCCGTGGAATCGAACACCTCGATTCCCAACCATTCGGTGGATTGAGAAAAGTGTTCAAAGACGTGAAGGTTGGCATCTGGAAGGTTTTCAGCTTCTCGATATCCAAGGAGCCACGATCTCTCCTTTCAGCCCGAGCAGGTCGGCCACCAAATGGTTGCTGGCGAGGCAACGCTTGAGTCCTCCGACGTCCGGACGAGTCCGCGGAACGCCCAGGTGTCGCAGGAAGTCGCGAATCCGACCGAGCGGCTTCCTGGTCGATTCATGTTGAGACGTGAATCGAACGTCTTCCTTCAATGAAAGGGTTGTTCGGATCTCATTTCTTTTGTTTTGTGGGCTCATGGTCATGAAAGGAGCTTGGGAACATGGGTTCACCAAGCATGGATGGCCTGGAAAAGTGAACTGCGCTCCAAATCTCTTAAGCTTCCTTCTTCCAACAGGTGCCATCCTGCTAATATGGACACACAACAAAAAAGACATGAACTTCTAGCACGTCCATAGCAAACTATATACAGTACCTTTCCCTCTACACTCTACACATTCTTGGCTCGGGAGTCAATAAGAGTAAATGTCAATGTGTCCTTCTGAGACCCTCACCAAGCAACCAGGTGGTTTTCTATATGTCTTGCCCTGACAGGCCAAACAAAACGACATCGGACGGCAGGTGCTCCTGACATTGGCTCCTTGCAGTTTGCCTGTCATCGAAACTTGAAACATATAGAAAATAATGTGTGCAGCTGACAGCTGAGGGCTAATTTGATCTAATTTGTCGTGCAATTGCGTGAACAACATCATATCTACTGGTTCTGAAACACAACACGCTTTGCCTGATCTAAGGTAAGCGTGGGTGATTGCCAAAAAGGTCTCAACAATCTATACAGATAGTTTGTTGCTATTCAGGTCTACTCAGAAAGGTACAAGTGATCTAACCTCTGATGCTCTCAACAACCAAGTTGAGCAGTGATAGCCTACCAACAAGGAATATGAAGGAAAATGTTCAAGAGAACTTATCACCCTGCCATTTGGGATCAAACCTCAATCCGAGTCACGAGTCTCCAAACAATACGCGAAGGGTATGCTCACAGGGTGTGGTGAGTGGTTAGACTTTTGAGCAATGCTTGCAAAATGTGTAACGTCTTCAGAACTACAGCTCGGTACACTTGTTGCAGGAAGTCCTAAAAATGACACATAGCAAAACACAACAATAATGTTATATGTTATATATATATGTTTATAGTCCATTTATGGGAACCGTTGAATCCACATCCAATATATACCGGACTTCTAATCAAGTGCATGTACCTGCAAAAGCAGGCCTGCCAGTGACCATACCGGCCATATCCGGCCAGAAGGCGCCATACCTGAGTCCTATACCGTGGCCATCGCGTCCATCATCGTGGCCTCCACCAGGCCGAGCGTTGTCAAGACGTGCTGTCTCAACTCCCGCACGCTCATCTCCTGCAGAGTCGGACCGGGGTCCGATTGCACAGAGTCCGAACCAAGCACCAAATGGTTGTGCTCGCATGTGCTCGCGGAAACGTACACCCAGGGATTCCAAGAAACCTTGTTGTCATTTGCCAAAGAACTATTGTTTCACTAAGGAGTTTTGACTACAAAACCAGGTCGGCCATTCTATTAAAGTAGTTTTGAAGGCTTTGTATGATCCAGACTCTACCGAAGTTTCGACCATCCATGAGTGGAAGCCCTTTCATGCAACCCACCCCAGTGGTTCAGTCCTGGGGCCCCCACCCACAAGGACGGTCCCGGTTTGGTTCAGTCCAGCCGGGTGCCTTCCCTCATATGCTGCACACTGCTATGGCAACCAATCCGGGTGGGTTCTAAGGATTTCAAAGGTGACTATAACCTGAGATGGTCTAGGCGATTATAGGGGCGCACCGGTTGTTGGTTCTACGACGCTGATTCACGGCACATTTCGAGCACCGTCTGAGATTAGGAAACATCAAATTTGCCAAAGGGTCGGCTGGTGGCTCGTGATTCCAGAAAGGCATTTCCCTTCAAGAAGCTACTAGGAACAAGTGCATCGCTACTAGGAACAAGTGCCTTACTAGTATATAGTAACAAGTGCATGGCTATTAGAAACAAGAAGCTATTGGCTATTGTTCCCAGAATCCGCACATTCACAAGAATAGCCGTGTCCTCATTCAAGTCCAAGCTAACCTGAGCGGGGACAGGTGTCATCAGCGCAATGCGGTGTTGAACTGAATCCAAAGAATTCCACTCACAATTTCCATGTCTGCTGAATCCAAGCCCCACTCTCCATGGTGTGGACCAAATTCCAAAGCCACCTCACCATCACACCTTCACTCCACCCCCACCACACCCTGCATCCTACATCCTACTACATCTTTGCTACTAATTTTAATTAGATTCTAGCTAATTACTTTTAATTGTTTCTACTAGCTTCTTGCTCCTAGTAGTAAGGCCAGGAGCCCCTAGTAGCGTCCTTGCTCCTAGTAGCGATGCCCTTTGCTCCTAGTAGCGTCCTCGTGTTCCTACCCTGTACTTCAAAACCCGGCATCACCCGCCCGTCCACGCCTCTCGTCCGCTCCGCAGGGCCACCGTCCGCAGGCGCCCCATGGCGGTCGCAGAAAGGGGGTCCCGAGGCACCCAGGGGGGGGTGGTGTTGAATTCGGTCAACCGAGGAGTGCGTGCCAAAGAGATACTAAAGGCTCCAGTTGTCAATTGAGCTCACAGAACTCCTGTACATAAGGTGGCTAGTGACCAGTGGGGTTCTGGCCCAAAACAGCTTTGAATGATAGCATCTGAAAGGTTGTCCTGTACAGAGTTCCATGATCTGCCGGGGCTAGGCAGCCGCAAATCCTGCTGATGATTTATCCCCCCTTCCTCTGTTTGTGTTCTGTCTTTTTCTTTCTCTCGGACTCTCGGTCCATGTCCATTTGATTCAAAAGCTTTCTTCCGGAATCTGCGAATGGAGCACACGCACATGCACACACACACAAGCAACCATCCCAAAGACTTAGAAAACCATAGAAAACCAAACCAAACAGTATGCATACGCACTATGGAGGAAAAAAACAGCATGGCAGCCACACACGACGGCACCATGTTCCATGAGATTCGCTCACCACACAATGGTGCAAAGGGGCACTCCACAAGAATTGGCGGCGAACAAGTGCATTCGGTCGAGCAAGGGATGCCTGGTCGACGTCCGGCCGGGCGATGGTGAAGCCTCTCAAAGGACGATGGCTGGCGCCCAGAAGCGCCCCAGGGCCCGGTGAAATCTTTGCCAGGAAAACTGGACGGATGTGAGACAAATGTGAAATCTTGCGCCTATTGCCCGTGAACATGTGAGACATGCTATCATAGAGTGAGATAGGCGTAGAAATTACGCTGTTCCTGCTTACCCGCACGTCGGGTGCTGGTCACTCCGGTCACAGCCTAAAGCCCATAAACCCTCCACAGTTCTGGACCTGAATTGTTCTGGTCTCAGGCTCTGCAAGGTCCATGAGACCATCCTTACATCTCGTTGGTTGGGAAGTTCTGTTCAACCACATGTCGGCTTGGAAAGCCATGCCTTATACTGTGAAACTCCAAATGCACAAGAAATTGTACGAAATTGCTTATGAGGTTGAGACCCAAAATCAATCAACACACCCGCCTGAACTTCTGGATCCAAATCACAAATGGCCGGCCGAGCCTCAGCAGCTCAAGCGAAGCATGCGAAGCAGTGTATGAAGAACAAACATCACCGGACGCCACCGAAGCTTGGTGAGTAAGTGGAAAGTGGGAAATCCCGGACAATGAAAAAAATCCCATCCAGGATGGGAGCCGCCTCTATTGCGAGTCGCCAGGAACACGGGGCTCGGCCATACAATGCCATACAACTCCCTGCGCGTCTGCACCTGACTAACATCACCCTTCCTCCCCAGCATCGGACAGGCAAACGGATACCGTGTTGGCTGTGGGGTGATGTGCGCTATCATTCATTCAAAAAATGTACAGCGCACATGTGTTCAAATCACACAAACATAAGGATTTTGTTAGCGTGTCAGCGTTTTCAGGACGTGCAATACTTGTGTATGTGTTCTGCGAATGGACATCTTTTTTTCAGCTAGAACCTCAAATTCAAGATCCTACTCCATCTGTTAAAATTTGTGGCGCTCTTCCATCAATTTCGAGCGGATTATATAACACATAGTCAAACTGCTATCAGCACTCGTGTTCCCAAATCTCCTCCATGAAACATCTCCAACACCACACAAAACGCATCTCGTCCCTACTCCCTACTCTTGTCGGATCTCACCAACACCTTCTAAGCTGTTGGAGCAACACCGTCTTGGTCACTCCGGCGGAGCGAAAGAGCGCTTGGTCGGGACAGCGCCCAGGGTCGGGACTCCACCTGGCGCACCACCCAAGGCCGCACCATCTCGCGCACCTCCGAGGGTGGGAAAAAAACATGTCGGGTGAGGAGGGGAGTAGGTTTGGTTTCTTCAGGTGATAGGTGCCCTGATCGGGTTTTGAATGGTTTTGATGGTTTGGCCAACATTCTAAACAGGGAGTGTCTTGGGTTTGTCAGTGATGTGCGTCACCCTGTGTGGATTAGCTATCACTGTACTGTTTAGATGCTTTTATATTTTATATGCATTGTCAATCATTGTCATGTGGACCCTCTCTGAACATGTCTATTGGAGACTATCCCAGGCTGCTAATCCCAGAAGCCTTGGTTGCATGTCGACTTGGGGTAGACCAAAGTGTCTACCCTCATCGGACGACGACCAATGATCATCGAATCATCGAATCAAGGAAAAACGCAGTGATTCTAATACGATGTTTACAGGTGGAACCTCTTGCCCCACCAATCTACGGTTGTGGAACATGCACGTCGTGAGACATCGGCTGACGTCGTGAGTGTATGATTCGGATTACTCCTATGAAACCATATAGGTCTTGCAGAAGGTCTTGCACCTGGGTAGAAGGTGTTTGCAAGACCATGGACACCAAAACCCTATATGCATGCAACATGCAGCACACAGGCCCATCATCCGACTGCGACCTTCTGATAGAGGCTTGGGGAAAGGCCTCGCACGCGCAGAAAATGAACATGGCAGCAGGGCCAACGTGCTCCACCGCCATGAATCCGGATGATTTATATACATCGTGTCGCATCTATTCTTCACATTCTTCACCGGTCCTTATCTTGTTCGAACGGAGATCACGTTTTGTCATGTTGACGCTCTCTCGTTCAAAGCCAGTCCCTCGCAGAGTCTTGGCAAAAAGGATCTGGCAGGGTCCCAACACATCCACTGTCCGCACACCCAGGGGCTCGACCGGAGCTCAGCACCAGTTCACCCACCAGGTGCAACTTCCAGGTCGGTCCTCTGGAGTCTTACCCATAAGATCCCACTATAAGACATGCCCCCCGTCTTGGGTTCCGAACACACCGTGAGGAAGGCCATCCCAGCGAGACCAGCACCAACCTCACGGAGTCGGAAGACGTGAAACACGAAGCCAAATCCACGTAGACGACGTGGACTCCACTCCAGAATGTGACCACAGTTATGCTTGGTTCGACTTCTCTTTCTGAAGATTCGACCTTTTTTTGATCTCTTCACTGCAGAATCTCTTTGCAGCATCTTTGAACAATGTTGACAGAAAACATGAGATGCACCCTCCAACCTGTCAAAAGCTTCCACACGCGGATCCGTTCCCTCTATGTTGTTTGATCACCAATGGACCGGAAGCTCCCCTTAAAGGGCGGATCTGTTCCCCATCTCGCCATCGCGGCCCCGCCATCACCAGTACATCTTGCACCGCTGCACGGTAGCCATTCTCAAAGGCAGACCGCTCCTCTGGGCTGTACCTCCCCCGAGTCGTCTCTCGCGGCATAACGCGGGCGGAACGGCCGGAATGGCGTCCGGTGCGATCCGGTGGGGTCCCCAAAGGGTCTGTTTCGCCGCTGTGAGAATGACCATTGCTTTCATGGCATAGGATGACACTCAGCCATGGGACCGATATGTTGAGTGGAAGCACGGAAACCCTGGCCACCCGAATCAATCAGATCAGTGTGAATCCGTCAGCTTGCCTGCCACCAGCGCCTGTCAGGTCCGTGCAGTTCGTTGATGTGATTCGCCGTGGGCCGTGGTATACTGTAGTTTTATGTAGATGTAGTAACTATTATGTCTGTCTGCCTGCCTGCCTGCCTGCCTGTCTGTCTGTCTGTAAGTATGTAAGTATGTATGTTTTTTTGCACGCCTTTTCTGTGCATGAGTGCTCACGTGAACCAGGCCCGCAAATCCTTTGATTGCTGGGCCTCGCATCTCTTTCTGAGACGCTCGGTGGGTTCGAGCTTCTCCTCCACGATCTTGGCCTTGCCTCCGCAGCGTGTGCATGTTGCCACCTTCCCACGTCGCTCCATAGTGTGGGAGGGGTGACCCTCCCACATAGAAGGTTCCAGTGGCCCCACCTTGCAAGGAGCTCCAACGAAGGTGCAAAATGCTTCCTCCCGACAGCGTGCAAGTATGTAGTCATGGCACTCTGAACACCGTAAGTAAGCTTTTTCAAGCCTCAAATGGTGCACTCCCCTCTGTACGCCAGACTGGGCAGCAATGAGATCATTGGCCACCTCAAAGCGAGTGCGCCTGGTAGGAGTCTTAGGAGTTGCCATCAGACAGGTGGAGTCCAGGGCACCTTTGAGGTCGCCGACCAGGCTTTTCGAGTGCAGCCGCTGCTTGCACTGAGAGCACTGGGCTCCAGAGCGAAAAGGCCGCCATGAGTGGCCACCAGCGTCCGGCCGGTGAAGCAGCTGTTGAAGGAGCTCTTTCTTTTGGGCAATCAAGGGGACCTTCTGGTGCTTCTCCTGCTGGTCAGCCTTGTGCAGGAAATGGGACTTGTCCCTGAGGAGAGTGTTCATCCTGCCAGCTGCGACGCACAAAATGTCTCTGGTGTCTTCATCAATGCTCTTTTGCAAGTCCAGAATGTCTTCATTCCTGGATGCCTTGGCGAACTTCTTGGCCTCCTTCTCAGCGTCTTGCTGGAAGAAATGCCGTGCTGCATTGGGATCAAGCTCCTTCTTTCCAAACAGCAAGGGCCGAACCTGAGTGAAGTCATCCGGTTCAAGACCTTCAAAAAGGTCCGGAAAGCATTCGCAGGCCCTAGACATTTGCCATGCCCGCCAAACTGCGTGGTCATAAATGGCGACAGTGACCTTCTCCTTGCTGTGGAGGGCCAAATGTTTCAAAGCATAAAACACAGCCCTGCTCCTGATGGCCTGGCCCGGGCAGATGCCTTTGAAGGTGGCAGTCAGCTTGCGAGTGAAGACATGGTGTAGGCAGATCACAAAGACATACCGCTTGTGGCGCACGTCCTTACAAGTGGGAGCAACCGCCAAGGACACTGCATGACCCGTGGGGATGTCAAAGGCTTCATCAGGCGTCCAGAGTCCATCCAACTGGAAAGTGCTCAAGCCTCCATCCTGTAGGTAGAAGATGGACTGGACGAGACCCCGCTGCCAGAGCTCAGGTTCTGTGCCCGCTGCCAAGCGCTCCTTCCACTGTTCAGGGAGGTCTTTGGCTTTACCCTTCCAAAAGCTGCACTGCCAAAGGAGGTGAATGAAGGTGAGCTCCTCTCCGCACAAGGGGCATCGGCCATCTTGCCCGTGAAGGGTCCCTTGGTGAAGGGCCCGGAGGCCCGGGCCAAGAGTGTCTCCCGACATCTTCTGCAGAGTCAAGCTGACTTGCCAATCCAAGAGCCTCTCCAAATCGTGGCAGCCTTCATACCTGGTGATACGGAGGAGGCGTTGCCATCGAAATTCAGCGCGGAGCTTGAACTGTAGAGTAGGCCAGCATTCGTGCCCATCAGACAAATCAAAGTCGTAGTCGAGCAAGTAAGCCTGTAGGGCCTGGAGTGGTCCGTTGACAACCTGCCATCGGTAACGAACTTTCTGAAGAGCGCCTAAGGCAACGTTCCAGCTAGTCCAGAAAAGGTGCTGGGTGCTCTCATCAAAGGAGTGGAAGATCTTCCAGACCGAGTGCAAGTGCTGTTCGATGATGGAGTCTCCAGGATCTGGATGTTGCTGATTCATGTCATACACAATGTCCACCGAGCCGGATCTTTGAAGCTGGAGGCTCCGGGCTGCAGTCACCCTGACGTATTGCCTTCTCTGTGGGGCCAAACCGTTGGCCTGAGCCCCCCAGGACATCACTGGATGAATTGCACTCTTGTGGAGCCGGTAGCGGATGTTCCTCTGCAGCTTGAGGCGGAAAAGAATGCCGGCTCTCCCACGCCCTTTGAGGAACCGTTTCTTGACCTGAGCAACCCGCCTGTGACGCCCAGCAGTTGCATCGACTCCCAAGTCACGCAGGACATTGTAGTGCTGAGGGTCTTGGTCGGTCAGCAAGATCTGAAGGGCCTTGGCGGTCTCTTTGCTGCTGGAAATGAAGCCAGTCTTGTCAGTGTTGACCTTCAAACCAGCTTGAGTGAGATGCTCCCTCAGGGTACGATAGGCCAGGACTGCCTCGCGGGCGACGTAGTCGGGATCTGAGCCACAGATGTCATAGGAGACGTCGTCAACCCATGTCTGAAGGGCCACAGCAGGATGCTCCCGTTGCAGGGCTTGTAGTGGACGATAGAGGATGAGTTTGCTGATGGCCGGTGCCTGCGGGCAGCCTTGAAGGATGCCCTTGGCATAGTGAGTAGGATTGCCAGCGATCCCTTCGGCCTGGATGAGCCGAGGCCCCCGGTACAGGTCCAGGGCCAGCTTGAGGTGAACCGGGGGATAGTTCAGGTCCGCGGCTGGCTCGATGATGTGGTCCAAGTTGACCGTGTCGTAGAAACAGGAAAGGTCCGCCAGGCAGGTGACCGTGTGGATTCCTTGGTGTTTCCGGATCTCAGCTTTTAACATCCTTCCCACTGCAATGGACAGACAGTCTCGGTGGGGTCGAGATTGGTCCCATGGTAAGGCGTCATCCAGGGTCATCTGCCACTTGTGGATGTCGTGCTTCCTGTAGGAGTTCCAGACACGATAGAGGCAGGAGGTTAATGCAATGGGCCTTTCGACCTTGCTGCTCTTCGGGATGAGCACAATGTTGGTGTAGCGCATCTGGATGGGGAGAAGAGCCTCCCGTTCCATCTCTGTGAGAAGACTTGCAAGTCGGGCCACTGCAGGGTACGGAAGGTGCCTCAACATGTCGTAAGAGATACCGTCAGGACCAGCTGCTTTGTTGGGGAGTCTTCGAAGGAGCTTCTGCAGCAGGGAGGAGTCAATCGGCTTCCAAGTGAGTGCCTCCTGTTGAGCGAGAGTGCGAAGCTGTTCAAATCCTCTGAGAGCCACCGGTTCGGCCAAGGGTTCCCAGATTCCTCCCCACTGTTGTTCCCTGGCTGTGATGCGAGCAAGGGCAGGTAGATCTTGAAAAGGCCGCTGCCACGCTTGATCTCGCTGCGGAAGGCTGCGGAAAAGTCCCCGCAGTTTTTTTTTGTGGTGAGCTTTAGCCAGCCATACTCAAAGCTGGTGGATTGCAATGCTTGTTTCTGCGCTTGTTGCTCTTGCTCCAGGATCTGTGCCCGTAACTCCGAAGGGTCTTGGGAGGGCGTGTCGAGCCACTGGGTGATCAGGGCGCTGAAGATGTCCGCCTGAAAATCTTCAGAACAGTAGTGCTGGATATCCAGGAGCATGTGCCGAATGTCTTGGAGGATAGACTTGTGCCCCATGTGGTGGGCCACATTGATGCGAACATTGAGCTTTTCCCAGAAGGCCGCCGCTCCCCTGAGCCACTTTTTGGAGGTCGTGGTGTCCACCAAGGGCGCATGATAGAGCGAAATGTTGGAACCCCTTCCCAAGGTGGGTTTGTGCAGCAACTGGGTGGTGAACTTCTCAGTTTGCGTAGCCCAGCGTGCAAAGTCAGAACCCAGTCCGGTGATGAGGTCATCCATGATGTGGAAAGGGCCATTGTCCTCGGAGAAACTGGTCCACAGGTGTGGAAGCTGGAAAGTGCGACCAATGGGAGGAAATCTCTGAAGCTGTTGAACAGGCTGAGCCGGCTGTGCACAATTCAGCTTGATTTCCAAGGCACAATGAGGGTGCCAGGGCACTTCCCAGAAAGCCCTGAGGTGAATGGAGCCCGCGAGGGAGTTGGCGACCAGCAGGTAGTCCAATTGACTGCCCTGCAGGGTGGTATTGCCTTGAGTGTCCATAATGGTGGCCCGGAACTTGCTTTGAATGACCGTGGAGGCCAGCGCTTCCGGCTCATTTTGCCAATCTCCCCCAATGATGAAAGGAGCCTGCAAGTGATGAAGGAAAGCCAAGAGCTTGCTCAAAATGAGAGAATTGGCAGCTGACTGCAAGGTCTCACCGGTCTTGAGATAGATCTGGATGATGTAGATCATCAGCCCTTGCCGTTGAAGCCCCACTGACATCCACCCATTGCCTTCGTGGGTGAAGGATAGCCCTCGGTGAGTGAGATGTCTGGTGGAGTGCAAGGTCAGAAAGCCCCCAGTAGTGCCCCCCTGCTCGTGGGGTGGGCCGCCTGGCCATACGCCTTCCATCCCCGGTTGGAGTAGTACTGGATGGCCTTGGCTGTGCCTTCATCTCCAAGATGAGTTTCATGAAGAAAAAGGAGGGCATCGCCGTGTGACCAAGTCCAGTCTTGTACTTTGGCTCCAAAATGCGTGACGTTGCCAAAGAGCAGGGTGAGGGTCTCATGATTGTTCTTTTGCCGTTTGGCAAGTGGAGCTTCCATCTCAGCCTGGGTGTCCTGGACAAGCTCATCCTCCGGTTCCTTGACCAGCCAGACTTGGAGGATCTCCCTGCGTTGTTGAGCGGTCAGCCCCGCCAAGGGAGTGGGAAATCCCCATCGTCCGCCAGCCAGATGATGTTGTCCATGAGGAGGATAGATTGATAGTGGCCAGTGAGGTGATCCTCTCCTTGATGGAGGACCAGGCCAACTATCCGGTAGGCGCCCCAATGCACATTCTTTCCATCATCGGAAAAGGGCAAGTTGATGTCCTGACCAATATCGAGTTCACTGGAGTGCTTGGTCCAAGAGCCGTCAACACATTGGAAACGTTGCAGTTGAAGGACAAGGGCATCCGGTGATCCGTACAAGAATTGACCACCCCCTTCATCACTCCACAGGTTGACAAGTTCATCAAGGGCAGTCGGGGACTGGCGTGGAGGGAACAACAAGTTCAAGGGCATCTGTTCACGAACCTCAATGTGGCCCTGTTCCATCCGGTGAAAGAACTTCCCTTGGAAAAAGTTGGAGCCGGCAAAGTGCCATAGGTAGCCCAAGAAGTCCGCCGCATCGGCCTGCCCCCCCGTCGGAAACGGTTCCAAATCTGTTCCAGGTGAGGTAGATGAGGAAGAAGTTGAGGTTCCGGTTCAGACAGAAAGGATCTCACGGCCTGGTGGGAGTGTCCCCACGCTCTGGCCGCATCACCAGCCCAGCACCAACATCGGAAGGGTGCATTGCCGAAAACCCCTGTGTAAAGGTCAAAGATGAATGAAGCACCTGTGCGGGGTTACCCGCAAGACTGATCCGTGCCGTCGGTTCGGCGTCGCTTGGCTTCCTCATCAGTATCAGCTGGCGGCCTTTTTAACATGTTCTGGAGCTGAAGCTGCTGGTCCTCCGTCAAACTGACACCAAGGGTGTTGATGAAACCTGCTACAGCCGCTGGAACTGGGTCACCGCCCCCTGCCTCAGGCAGTCCAGCAAGGTCAGGCTTTGCTGAGTTGACCAAGTTCATGTACGAGGTGCTGGTGTCCTGGAGAGAGCGCTGCTCAGACTCGATGCGGCCCTGGATAGCCTTCATTTCTTCAAGAAGGTCCTGATAGGCCTTTTTGGTCGAGTCAATCCGCTGCTGAAGCGTGTTCTTCTTGTGGGACAGGTCCTTCAGCATGGACACATGAGTCTTCAGCTTTGAGGCCACATCCTTTTCGGTTGGCGGAGAGGGCTTGGTCAACTTCTCGACAATTTCCCGAACATTGGAAGGGAGTTGAGCCAGATTCTCCATGAGGATGTCTTTCAAGTCCGGCCCCGGTGAGGGAGGGGGCGGCGAAATCCCCAAGGCTTGGAGCTTCTGTTGCAAAGCTGGGTCCAAAGTGGTCCAAGTAGGGGCCAGTGCCTCCGCAGTGGCCTTCTGGAGCTTAGTCATCTTGGGCGTCTTGGAGGTCAGGCCCGGCGGGGGTGGCACTGGAAGTTGTTGTCGTGGCCCCCGCTTAGGTGAGCGAGAAGGTGGAGCTTTTGAGAACCCCTGTGGTGGGCGGGGCCATTGCTCTCCGCATTTCCGACAAACATAGCCCTCACGCACCTTGTCCGACCAAATCCAGTTGAAGCAGCCTCCACCGCCACATACCTGGTAAGCTCTGCACCATTTGCCTCCCGAAGTCATGGAACACCGCACCCTCCGCGATCTGGCCAAAGACAAGGTCAGGGAGGTGGGTGAACTTGCCGTCGTGCTCGCCCGAAGTACTATACTCCGGGCGTGAGGCTTGAGCCAGATCAGTCCTTGAGCCGTGTAAGTATGTATGTATGAATGCATCAATGTATGTATGTATGATTATGATTGATTATGTGTGTAAACTGCTTGCCATGATGCGTACCATGACTTACCACATGTTGCTAAACAGTGACCCCTGCGCTTTCTGAACACCTTGTAGTGCAAAGACTTGTGACCCTCTTGGTCATGCTGTCGTGGAAGTTCGAGAGTTGCACCGTGACTCAGATCCACCCAGCAGCTCAATCCCCAAAGCAAAACTAAACATCACCTACACTCCAACTCACTAACATGGAAGTGGAAACCACCCCGTTTGTAGAGAACAAAATGAGCATGTTCACCACTGGGCTCTCAAACAATGTCCCCCCACCTCACTTGACTCGAATAAAGAGCGAAGCACTCAAACAAGCCTCAAATGCTGTACGCGCTCGCTCACGCCCTCCATTCCGTGTCAGCGCTCGCTCACCTTCAAGTTCGAAGAGCCGCCGTGCCAGGGCCTGGCGACGGGCCGTGCCTGTGTCCGTCATGTCCTTGGCGACATGGCCAACTAGGAAAACGAAACGCAAAAGCGCAAACACATGTTTGTTTGGAACGCTCGTGTGGCCAAAGAAAGGAAGGGAACCTTGAAACCTTTGAGATCCGGGCGTTTCGGTCTTCTCTCGGCCGGAGTGTTTGATGTGAATTGTGCCAGTAGGGAGTGGAGAAGGCGCGTCTTGTCGAGGAAACTTGTCTTTCAGGGATGTACTCTCCAGAATCTTTTCGAACATCCTAGAAGGCTATGGCTGCCGTTATGAGGTCTGGAGTTGGCCAATCGTTGCGCCCGCCTTTCGAAATCCCAGGCGCATCTGGGCCAGGCCATCATCGCCTGCCATCATTGCACATGGTGCATGGAATCTGATTCATCGAGCTCCACCAGAGGAGGGTAGACCAGGCCGGGTAGCCACCACCCATGAAAACCATTGAACACCAAGAGTCTGACAACTTAGGTCGTGTCTGTGCAACGCGAAACGGTCGAGTGGACCATCAAGCGAATGTCACAGCCTTGCAGGATTATATACAGTAGTATAATGTATTATATAGACTATAGGGGCATGAAATATTCGGCCTTGCCTTGCCTGGACTTTAACAATTTTGGCAATTTCAAACGCTGCCAACCTTCCCGTTGTGACATGAAACAAACTTTGACACTCACCCCTCGACGAAAGCTACTTTACGGATCCTACCTCGTAACTTCTCATACAGTAACTCTCCAGTGAGCTAGCGACTATCAATAATAGTTGAGCACGGTTCTGAAGAATGGCTGTAACAATGCAATTTTCTCAGCCAAGTGGGTGCTATGTTGGGTCAGGGGCCAATACAACAATCATTCTCAACATAGCTCAACCTATATACTATATATTGCACTTCGGTGCGCGAAACCTATTGCTCCTATATATAATGTCATCAATCTTCCGTTCCCCGCGCCCCCCCTGCGTCCCCGAGCAACCCGGCCAGGCATGGCGACTCACCAGCAATTTCCCGTGGTGAGGAGCTTCATCGAATCCGGAAGAAATTATTGTTCGATTCTGGAGCTTCATCGTTTCAATTTCTTGAATATTTTTTGAGGAACTATGGTTTGAAAGGGAATTTCAACAAGTTCTTCGTTTCCAAACAGGGTCAAATGGTCATTCTCTCAAATCGACCCTAGACTCTCATCAAGTGGGTGGTTCTTCGATTCTAAGCAGTAAGCAGGAGAGGTTTTTGCACAGCTGGATCTTGGGTTTGAAATCTCAACTTGCAGTGGTAGCCGTTCCTTAGACTCTGACTGATGTAATTATTTCATGTACGGTGTTTTGCATGTCCAACCTGGTGCTGGATGTCCTCCTCCATCAAAACATGTGTTTGACACCTGTGCTTGATTATTCCTCCAATGCGTGTCCGGCTATGACGATCATCCTGACTGTGGACCGGACCGGCTTGATGTGATTGAGGGGCCATAACTTATAGGGCCTTCCTACCAGCGTGGATGGGCCATGGTGAAGAGCCCAGCTTTTGCTGCAACGTATTTCATGGCTGAGAATTCTTGCCACAAGAACTCAACACCCTTGTTCGCTCGCTACGCCGCACTTTCTCGGGCTAAGTGGCGCAACGCAAGCTCCATAGATCAGCGATGATCAATGCATACGACGCCGGGTACGAAGCAGCAGTGGAATCCATGTCGGGGATCCACGGGAAGGTGCTTTTGGGAGGGGCTAGGGGTAGTGGGGGTGACCACTCACATCCGACTGAATGGGTCCAAAACATCCGCCGGATTGGGTCTAATCCATGGTCCATCCGCCGCTCAAATGACGCATCAAATCGGCCGCCATTACTTCATCATGACCTGGGAAGAGGTTCCCCCGCTGCGACGAGCTGGGAACACTGCCGAGACGGGCTGGGGATTTTAATGTCTTGGATTGGATGGAGTTGTGGAGGGAGACTGTAGTACATTAGTACAAATCTTTTAGATGGGCAGCATTGGGCAACAGATCATTCTTCTTTTATAGGTGCGGGTGTTTCACTGCACCGCCAGTGAGTTTTCTGGTTATTTGTGCCGATCGCTGGGTCAATCAGCACTTGGCCAGCAAATGTTCAGTCTTCTAAGCCTTTCATTGTACGACCTACGTGTGGATGGCCGTCGGTGTCCTGAAGGAAGAGCTGTTGCTCCTCTTTTTGGAAGATTTTGCTTGTTTTTTGGTTCGTTTTTCTAGGTGGCTCCTTATGGGGTTTTAGGAAGATTCCCGGCCACCTGGACTACCCCTGGTGCTTTGGAGGGATAAAATTCATGTCATGGAGAATTAATTAATAAATGAAAAGGAAATAAGAGAAAACCAAAATTAATTGCATCCTTTTCATTTTTTCACATGCAATTTTATCATGTTAATCTCTTTATATCAAATGGCATGAAGGCACAAGAAAGAATAACACATGCACCATTATTTTCCAACACTGGAGTCTAGGGCCTAGGGGTTGGTGGCAAGGGGCCATCCCCCACCCTAAACTGCTTAGGCTTGGCTTGGCTTGAAAGAGCTGGAGGCTGTCTGGGCCGTTTGGAGGAGGGTGCAGCGCAACCCCCCCTCAAGAGCAAACCAAGTGCCAAGCCACTAAAAAAGCTACCAAATGCTAAATCATCAAAAACCAGCCATCAAAATCCAAAAAACACAAAAGAGAACCCATCAAAGACCAGCCCAAAGCCACACAAGCCACCAAAAGCTAAAAGCCGCAGAAGCCACTGAAGTCAAAAGTCACAGAAACCAACAAAAGCCCAAAGCCACTATATAGGTGTGTGATCTGACAAGTCGGGTACGCGACTAAGTCTTCAATTGTATTTATGTGTGTGAACATTTCGCTTACTGTGTTTGTTTAATGCATATAACCAAAAATATGAAACCGGTTTTACAAACACACATAAAGGAAGTTGACCATTGGAAAAGAAACACACATTTGTTCAGATCATGTTCATAAATGGATCATCAACAAATAATATGTTCATATTTCGTATGTTCCATAATTTTACAAACTATTATTATGCATGTTATGAACAATTGCCGTTTGAATTGAACAAAGTAAGACAATAATATACATATATACTGTACTACAATTTATGAAACACAATTACACAACCAAACATTTCACAAGTTAGTATCGTTAACACAAGCGCATTACACAATCTATATTGAACTGCTTTTCTTTTGCTTTACCAACTTGTAGGATCACAACACTAAGCCACCGGACCTAGGGAACAAGGGGCCCAGGGACCAAAGGAACAAGAGACCAGTGACCAAACGGAACCCAAAGCCGACAAGCCAAAAAAACGCAAGCCAAGAAGCCACGAAGCCAAAAAAGCTAGAACCCCACAGAAGCCAAGAAAGCCAAAAGCCACAAAAGCAACAGGTAGAACAAAAAACATATCAAAAAGGAAAACCAACAAAACAAAATGCCCTCCGGAACAAACAAACACTGGTACTTGTGTTGAAGGGTTCTATATATGTCCTTCACTTGAAAACACCTTCAAAGATTATAAACTACTGGCCCCAAAACCTTTTGGATTCCACTTGAGCAACCGTTCCCTTGGCAATTTGTCAATTACAATGTGGGTGGGCACCCCAAACAATCTATAATCCAATTGCAGCATCATTGGACCTGACCTCTTTCTTGCATTTGAGTCCTTTTACCGCCTTTTACCTTCCAAATCTTCATCTCAACGGCGCCGTTTCGCCCGACGCGGTGTCGCAGCGGCCTTGCGTAGATTCTCCGCTCGCGGGGGGTCACAGCCTGGAACGATGGTCACGATGCTGACCACCCCGTTCTGAGTCAACCGGACTCAACGGACGAGTCACGGACTGTGCAAGACCCGAACGAAACAACACTCCGTAAAAAGCTATAGGTGGCAGTGGCGCAACCCCAATCTGGAAGAGAGCACCATCTACCCTCCCAGGCCACGACAAAAAGTTACTATTGTGGCGACAGGACTTGTCAGTGTCAAAAATGATGCGCCATCTACTTGGCAAAAACTTGTGGTTGGTTGCTCCATGATGCGGCATCTACTTGGCTAAAACTTCCTCGCTGTGGCATCTGCGTTGCTAACATTTGTGCCTGGTTTCTCGATTGCTTTTACTTTAGTCTATCGGAGCTGATATGCTTAGCCGCCCAATGTGGGGAGTAGATGGCGCAACGCCGGTTTTCAGGAATGCCCAGTAGATGGCTCAACTCAATATTCCAAAGGGAGTATAATTACGGTTTATAGACCATATAGATTTCCATACCCATACACACACGGTAATTGGTGACCGGGTCTGGTGGTCCATTTCTGCACCTCACCTGCTGAGCCCGACTCTGCAGGTCGTTGCGAAGCTCGGTTCGAACACTGGTCGTGCTTTCCAGGCATGGGTGGGCTTTGAGAGCCCTCACATCTTGATCTTTTCTGAACATCGAGGTTTAACCACCATGGGGGCCATCGGGCATCTTGATCTTGTCTTCCCTCAACATCGAGGTTTAAACATGCTAATGAATAACACTCATCTTCCTAGCTTTCCCCTGGCGAGCCATCCGTGTTTGTCATTATTGATTGTTCCTGGACGCCTCTTTAACTAATTGAGCCATCTGTCCAAACCTGCGATCTTTTCGTGATTCAAAAGCAACAGAAACAAAATTAACTCAACCCTTTCCATTCCAACACCTTATCCACCAACCTACATCTACACCCACGTGCGCTCGGTGAACCGAGCGCACATGCACCCGGACGTCCTGCGCGGGAGACATTCATGGCCGCCGCCGTCACGGCGGCCAGCAGGATGAAGCGTAGCCGCTGTACGGCTGCCTCGCTGTGTCTGTCTCGTTCAGTCCAAGATCACCAACCTCAAATGCTCTGTGCCCCCATGTAAGTACACGTGTTTTTTGGAACAGCTGTGCAGCTTAAGTTACGTTGGTTGGATTAGAGCAGGTCATTTTGCCTTGCCTCAGATAGAGGTAGCCAGGTAGCCTTTGGGAATGCCTTTGGGAGCAGTCCCATGTCAAGAATATTCTGCGGTCCGCAGCTGAGGAGGTGTTCCGAACACAGATCTTCAGGTCCACAGCCTCAGATCTTCAGTCCAAGAATGGATGTCCCTTCAGCCCCTCCTGGACCAAAAACATCAACAATGTGACCCAGCCCGGCTTTCGGTCAGAATCATGCGACGCATCCAGCTGGATGCTTGCTTTGAATCCTAAGCACCCAAAGGAATGCCTTCACACACATGTTTTCAAAAGGATCTGTATCAATATGCACACTCGGCGAGAAGGGGATCAGCAAGCATTCTTCCGAACGCACGCACAATAGAAGTCATTCTGTGATAGTACTGGAAGCTTCAGAAAGGCACTCAACCGACTCAGCTGCAGCAGTTCCTGAATGGTTGACATACATTTTACACCATATCATGTTATGACCCTGATGCAAGTAACCATTCCATACATGGATGGTCTGGATGGGGTCACCTCAAATCTGACCAATCTCCAATCTCATCGACCCGGCAGAGTCGCGTGACGCAAGAGTCGCCTCATCGAAGGGCTTGGAACCAACCTCAGCGCAGCTTGGCCCGAACCACAGGTATCTCCAAATGTGGATGTCTGTCCATGCTGGAGTAAGTATAGATCAAACCAATTTTGGTGCAGCAATCTTCTCAACAGTAGAACCCACGAGTTGGATTGGTTCATATTCTATGTGTCTATGTGCTGCCATCATGAATCATAATTAATTATAGGATATTATAGGTTTGTTGTACCTTTCTGAGGTCCTATAACGCCACACAACCAACAACTAGAACCAGACTGATTAAAATCCTATGAATGCCAGTTGCGTGAGGTGTTTGGTGGCGAGGCTGTTTAGACTCTCATGATATATTCGTAGGAACCCCATTAACTTCTCTGAACTCCCAGTGCGTGTCTCGTTGTGGATCTCACAATGGGTGATCCATGTTTTGCTGGATGAGCGGTCTGGGCCCCATGCCAATGAAATTGTGGACTCAAACTTTGGGATACCCTGGGCTTGGAAATCAGAACTGGCTACCGCAACCACCTCCTCACGGAGTCCTAAGGAATTGCTCTGTTGCACAAAGGGGCAACATCTGGCGTCCATTTTCCATCAGCCTTGCACATGGCCAAGTCCGGCAATGGAATACCAGCGACGTGTGCTGCGATCAACTCCTTTCAGAGAAGTCTGGGCAGCGTCAGACTGGGACATTCATCCTGGCTGATCTTACAATTGAAAGGCCTTTTCCAGGCCTCTGCGCACTCCCGTTGCCTCTGCGCACTGACGGATGAACGGTGTTCGCGTGTTTGAGATTGGGCCCCCCTGATCCAGCAATGATTATTCCTAAGCCAGCGCCTTGTAGAGACAACAGGATGAGACAACAGGCCTTGTATTTCCCGGCTACAGCTCAGTAGAAGCATAGGTTCGACTGGGCGACCCAACACGCAAACAAATCAAGTGCATCCATGAGCGAATGGAATCTCTCCAAGCAATTATTTGGCTTGTTCTTAAGGTTGGCCATGGAAGCAATGAGGCTACAGTAATAAATTCATCTTTGCGGAGGTCCGTCTTTTCAATCAACCAGGCATCGACATCATCTGGGTGATGGGCCCGTAGCCGGGGAAACCGGGAAACTGTGCATCTGGTGCAACGTTTTGGCAGAGACGTACACAAGAAAAGAAGCTGCATCCACAAGATGTTGCTAAACACCCGCCGAAATCATAGGGCTTCAAGCTGAGATCAAATACCTTTTTGAGTGTGTGGATGGGTTTGGCACCAAGAGCGATCAAACCTACTCCTCCAGTCCTCTACCGTCTGTTCTTCCGCTACCTGCTTGACAAATAGAACACATTAGAACACCATGTTCCGCACCTCTGGTAGTCTGTGGTGGAGGAAGCTGGAAGACGGCTCACCAAGTGCTGCCAAACTTCACCGTGCAGCGGTTCAAATCGAAACGTGCTTTTCACTCGGTGCCTGTTCCTCGAAACCGGATTCGTGCGATCCACGGCATCGCCGTGCGCCGGCGACCCACGGGGTCTGCGGTCTTCCACGATGGATGCGACGTTTGAGGACCCAGTCTGCGGTCTGGCCAACATTCGGCTCGGTCGGGCCGTGCTGCAGGACGCTCGGGTGAACCGGGTGAACCGTGTTTTTCACGCCTCGCTTTGGGTCATGACTGTGGATGGTCCTAGCTGCGTCTCCCTAATCGGTTACTTGTTTGTCCTCGTGGTTCGCTGGAATGAATTGAGCAGTGTTCAACCAGAACCAGTGCACCCAAAAAACCTGGAGCATTTCTGCAACAATCGTCACTTTTTGGCTAGGCTAGACTTCTGCTGGGAAGGAGTGTTGCTCCTTGGCAGGGAGGAATTCCGATCATTCACATCCTTCCGTAGTGAAGCAAAAACGACTGATCATCTCCAATGATCTCCAATCCATCCTGAATATATATATATATAATATATAAGTGGTCTTTGTTGGTCTGACATTTTCAGGCTGCGACACGCCCAAAACAATGCCTCAGGGATACTCTCCAAATGTCAATCACACCCATCGTGTGATCTGATCGATCTAATCTAATTTCTGGTCTCGCTGGCTCGGTCAAAATAAATGCATGCTGCTGACCTTCAGGCAGCAGCCAAAGCCTTCCACCGGGCCATCATCTTCCGGCTCGGTCAGCTCATCGCTGGGGAGGTTGGTCTTGGAGACCTCGGCGAACGGTCGCGCGGTCGAGGGCCGGTGCGTTGTTTTGGTGTTCTCGTGTTCCGATTTCACCATCACTCCATCGGACTGGAATATATCCCATGAACCCCGAAAGCATCCCAACGTATACGCGAAAAAATGCATAATGCTATATAGATCCAAATTAATATAATGGGACTAAATGGCAAAGTGTTTTTTCTCTAAATTATCCCACACCCTGAATAGTTTAATGGGAGGGAATACATAGTTTTTTTCACCCCAGGGCCAGGGTGTTCCCTTTATTTTGATTTCTTGATTTGTCTATTCTTCTGCTATTGTTACCCTTTTTACAATCCTTGCTTAACTAGAACGACTACCTACGACTGCTGTTGCTGCTACTACTACTACTACTCCTGAAAACCTTTTTTAAACCCCTTATTAAAACTCATCGATGCCATTGCCCAAAACAATTTTCATCTGGGTAGTACACAAGCCCCGGCAAGTGAATAATACGGTGCGGGATTAGTAAGTAAACTTGGAGCCCTAGGAAAAAATACAATTACTTTATACTGCTCTGCTATTCCCGCCTTTTAAGGTCTTTGTTTACCTCTTCTAAGGTTTGCTTGATTCACGGAACTCTGACCTGAAATTGTTTTTAAAGCCAATCGATTTCATTGCCCCAAACAACGTTGTCAAGGGGGTAGTACCCAAGGCCGGGGTACAAGTAAGTGAATAATACGAATGGTTTAGGGGGTGTGGTTAATAGGTAAACTTGGAGCCCTGGGAATAAACGTTACTTCTATTTTGCTCTGCTATTGCTGACCTTTAAGATCCTTGCTTAACTCTTCTGAGGTTTGCTTGATTGATGGAACTCTGACCTGAAAACCTTTTACTAATGCTGCTCACTGCTACCGACGATGACCAAAACGACGACGACGACGGCTACTACTGCTACTACTGCTGCTACTGCTGCTGCTGCTGCCACTACGACTACGACTACGACGACGACGACGACTACTACTACGACTACTACGACTACTACGACTACTACTACTACTGCTACTGCTACTGCTACTGCTACTACTACTACTACTACTACTACTACTACTACTACTACTACTACTACTACTACTACTACTACTCTACTACCTATACATACTACTGCTGCTACTGCTACTGCTTCTACTTCTACGACTACGACGACGACTACTACTACTACTCCTCCTGCTACGACTACTGCTACTACTACGACGACAACGACGACCACGACTACTATACTACCACCATTTCTACTAACTAATATAATTGTTTTCGTGCTTCTATTCGGGCTCCCTCAATTCTTTGCTAGGGGGTGTGTTTTACTATTTAAGATCCAACATTACATGGAGTGTCTGCATGGAATTTAAGAAGTGAGGTGGTCGGCCTGTCTCAGTCAGATTCGGCTTGCCTGGGAGTTGGTGACAATGCTGAGCTCGGATTTATAGTTCAGGATCCGATCAAAGTCCTCCTCGGGAGGCTTGCTGACCTGATGCTGATCATCGCAAACATGCCCCGCAGCCCAGTCAAAGGTGCTCACACACCGTCTGCAACCATATGACCGTTTCAGCACCCAAAACCACTGCTAAGTCCACTGCTAGCATCCAAATTGAATTCTGTCTGGATAATTGTACCCTGTATGCGTGTGTGGTCTCTTTGGAGTGATTTGAGCTTAAGTGTCGATTGAAAACATGGTGGTCCGGAAATACCTACCACCTACCAGCATCTTGCTCCCCTCTTCGAATGAACCAACAATAGATCCTTAAATCTTCCAAATGATGAGAAGTAAACCCCAGTAAACTGGTAAACTTCATGAAAACGGAAACTCTTTCCGCACATGGCGTCTAGGCCCTAGGCCCTACTCTAGGCCCCTATGGGCACTACCGCACGCGCTGACACCGCGCACTCCGCCTGTACTTCACCATGGAGGCTCCCCACGGTGACACCGAGCGCGTTGCTCAAGGGGGCCATAAACTTCTTCGGCTTCCTACAGCCGAGGCGACGAGGAAAAGACACATTTGGTAGAGGAGAAACTATGTGAAACATCGAAGCTGCGGAAAAAAAAGAAACGTCGTCTCCTGCTTCAATCAAAAGGAGAAAGCGTGAGTTGTTTGTTTAATCATCCGAGCTTGTGATTGTCTTAGAGTAAAACCAGGCTACCCTCCTGTGCACTGGTGGGTTCAATTCCAAATTTTGATCGCAGGTGTAAATAACCTGGGTAAGTGACCTATAGGACTCTACTCTACTGGGTACCTATCGGATAGTCTATAGGTTTATTCCCCCCCCCAAAAAAAAAGAGTATATACGTACTGTTCAATTGTATGTTTTTCCAGCGCTACCCGGCTAGTCAGTGAGGGGCGCTGCAGCTGGATCGTGCTATGTGATGATTTGGCAGGATGTTCACAATAAATGCTTTGACGTGGGGTGTCTACAGGGTTTAGTTCGTCAACTTGTCGCGCAGTTCAGGCTTTTGATCAAGTAAATCAGTAAAGCTATGAACTTTCAAGGACATCAACTCTTGGTATTTGTTCAGGGCCGGGGACAGCTTGTGGCGTATGTGTCAAAAGTTTTTGCAGCACGTCCACGTTCAATCAAAGAGTATGAATCAGCACAACTTACAAATTAGGGGTGGTGATCCACTTTCCTTTTTGGACAAATCAATCAGTCGGGCACAGTTCCGATTGATTTGTCGCCTGTCCGCTGGAGTGAAAATCACCTCGCTCGACGGAAACTCACGTCGTGTCCTTTGTGTTGGTCAGGGTTCCCATTTGTTGGTTTGGAGAAGAATATTGGTGGTCACTAAAGCCCCGGTGGAGACTGGATGTGTTCTCTTTTGAAATCTTTTGCTCGTTGCTTGGAACCTGACTTTTTGGGGACGCCTCAAGTGTTTCACGCGGTCGTTCTCATGGCTTCCTTTACTTCTCCCAAAGGTTGGCATGTGGTGTTGGGGCTCCAATCGTTGAAGCTGGCTCCAAGGGTTTGGAGAGAAAAAGCGGACACGACTGGCAACCTTGAACCCAAACATGAAATCTGTTTTGATCGAAGAAAGGCGCTGTTTTTAGGGTGGTGGTGGGTGGTGCGAAAAGAAAGGTCCCTCGGGTATACTTGGCCGCTCCACGATTTTTCACGCTGGCTTAGCTTGGGAGGCGCAATAAGCTTGATCCAGGTCTCTGGTCTGCACCCAATAAGCTGATCACACCATAGCCATCCGGCTCCTGAGCTGGACAAACATCCAACCCACATGATTCTTCGAGCCTGGAGGGCCTGGACGTGCCCAGCCATGCCCGGCCGTGGTTCTGGAAAAGAATACATTAATCTATATGTATATATATATATAGCATTGTTCCACCTGATTTTAGAGGACAAAACCACCAAACAATGTTATCCACTGACTGGGTAGGTGAAAAACGACCACAACAACGTTCTGTACAATGATTGTGGTGTCAACAGGTGTCACACGATCTTCTTATAGCCTGAGCACTGCGCACTCCACTGTTGTTTACCTGGAGAATGTGAACGGGATGGCCGACTGCAGGGTCCAACTGTCTCAGCACTGTGGTTGAACCGGAGGGTGGGAGAAGGGTAGATAGAACTAGGATCGCTTGCGCTCAAGACTTGGCGAAGCATTCATTAACAATATGGTTCGTAGGACGACAAGTTTCGCTCTGAAAGGGTTGCAATTCCTTCGAATCATTGGTCCGTCATGGTCCGTCAGTTTTTGGACACCCTCGCGTCCTCAAAATCATCAGCCAAGCCCGCCAAAGCCATGACGGTCGAGATGGGATGAGATTTCCTCAGCAAAGGGAGGATCCACGGCCAAGGCTATGTCGCTGGCGACTGGTTTCCAAGGCATTTAACTTTATAAGGAATGATTTAAAGTGACAAACCGGTTAGCGAACTGTTGTGTGAGGGGGGCACATCCAAGGTCTCACCATTTCATCTCTTCAAATGCCAACCCTTGCCTTCCGAAGGGTGAAGCGACGACCCAACCACAGCCTTTGCTGGAGGATAGTTTCAAGGGAACCACCACTGGTAGCAGACTGGCAGCTAGCCTCTATCTCGATCTAGGAATTCGCCCACTTCAGCCGGCGCCCAAACAAACTAGTTTCTGCCCATTCCCACTTCCGGTTTTCCAGCGGCATATGGGCACTTTCCAGTGCATCATCTACTTTGTAGATGGCGATGAGGATGTGCCGTGATTGTACCCATTTGACTTTCGAGACGCCTGACACCGCCAAGCCAGGGGCCCAAAGGGTTTTAATGACCACTCTGTGGAGGAAGGGCCAACCACTCGTGGAACACAGGAGTGTCTGTTCCTAGTCGATAGGGGGAGTGACTCAGCTGCAGTGCAAAATGTGAAATCAATTGAAATCAGCTTTTTATGTGGCACAAAGTCATTAATTGAACCATGCCGAAGGGCAACATCACAAGGTGCCAACATGTTTCGCATGTCCAACGATGCAATCCTTGCACATGAAGGGGGGGAATGGACGAGATTGAATCAGCAGCTGCTGAAAGCTCAAAAGTAGCCGCTAGACCCAAAAAAAGGACTGGGACTCACAATTGACAGGTTTTCAGTTTGTCAGTCCACATGAGTCCACCTGTACTTCGCATGGCTCTCGCATGGCTCTCAGATCTCACCACCAAGAGTTCGTCCCAGTCGTCATGACAAGCTTAGAGCCGGATTCGGAAACTCATCGGTCGGATTCCGCTTGGGTCTTGACAACAAGATGAAAACGTGAAACAACATGCCCGTCGTGATCTTTCTCCCAGCTCGTGAAGCAAACAATCATGTCTGTCCCCACGCCTTTCTTGGTGGCCATGACCACAGACCGAAAGTTGGCCCTGCCTTAGCTGAGCCGCTGGGATGCATTGATTAATGATGATGACATATGATTATTGATCAATAAAAAATCCCTACCACAATGGATAAATAACCTCTCCATGTGGGGTGTTCTCCTTCAACAAAAGTCCTGATTATTTCCCAAGGATTTCCACCTCGAAGGGCCCAAAGGGTTGTTCGCAATAGTGATTGATCACTGTAATATGTTAGTATATTATAGTAGTTCATACACAATTACACATGTACACACACCATCACACACCCGTTAAAATCTTTGGATCCGGAGGCAAGGTTCCTCCTTTGCTGGTGGCATTGGAGGTGTGCCGGTCCTCGTCACAGAATTGCGCCCGGAAGGAGATATGATGGTCGCCCGCTTCCTGGGACGCTCGGCTACACGAAGCCCACACAGGTGGAGAAACTGGATTATCCCATCCACAAACATATATGTATTATATGTGTATATGTATATATATATATGGCTTAATCGGCCTAATTTGGACATATGAACGTATGATATCAAGTGCACCTAAAAACACCCAGCCTGTAGGACATGAGCGTCCCATGGAACCCTGGTAATGCTGGAGCTGGAGGTCCCATTGCATGTTCTCTGCAAGGTGAGATCATCTCACGTCGGATCAAGCAGCATCGCGGCGGTGTAAGCTAATGTAGAATGTAGACTCGTAGACTCTTGATTCGTAAACCTCCCCTATTTGGATTAAAAGCTCCTGTCGTTAATCAAGAGTCTACGTTTACAGTATCCTTTTTGTCGCCTTCCAACTGCGGCCAGGCGTCCAACCCCGTCGCCGTCAACTTGCTCAAACGGATTAAGATCCGACTCTCCGAGTCATCCAAGTGGTAGGGCCTCTGGGCTCGGTCGAGTTAACCAACCGGACGTTGAATCAGAAACCTGACATGGTTTGGGTGGGCTTGGCAAGGACATGCTTGGTAACTTACGTATAAATAAGTAATGCATATATATAGTATACATATAGTTATATATATATATATAGTTAATATAAAGTTAGCAACTATCTATCCCTCTCTCTCTCTCTGCGCGCCCGGTCCAAATTGTTCTGCGGGTTAGCATGGAACTGGAAAACTCTGGGAAGAACATGTCCATGATTACTCTGTTCAGCAACCGGTGAGCAACAGGTGCCCACTTCCATGTTTCCATCACGCTTCCTCGCCTCATCACGGGCATCCGAAAAATGGCGCCCACCGGCGAGTGGTCGGAGGTGCAAAGGGTTGGGGAGCTGCGATAGCTTCCCGCCTCCAACATCAATTCCTCAGACGCGGCCGGACACCGGCGGAACGGTTGGAAGCTGCGGCACGGCCGGTGGTGCGGAATGAAAGTCCCCACCACACACACATGGTGATTGTACAATCCAAAATGAGTACAGTTTACGTAATCAACAATCTATACATTTATTATAGGTTGACCTCCAAACAACATTGGATGCCGCCAAAACTTAGTTTGGGACATGTTTGGTCTTAACCAGCTTTAACGCATCTCCAGATGCTTTGTGATGCTTGGTGGTCTGTCCGGTGATGTGTAGAGAAGTTTGCTGATCTCAGTGGTGCGTGGTAAGTTCCAGTGGCTTCTCACAGCCTGCCACCTGACACTACATCACTTGGAATGTAATATTACACATATTTATAACACATAAGTTGGATGATGTTGGATGTGTGTGTAGACATCTTATCTCTTATGGCCCGACATGTCCCTGCTTTGGACACCTGAATCCATCAACGCCCCAGGCGCGGCGTCTGGGAAGGAGCGCCACAGGACTCGGTCCGTCCAACTGGGCACGCGGCCCTTCCGCGGATCGTACGGCCGCAGGCGCGTCGCGGGATCCGGCGGCGCACCTCGTGCGGAGGCCGGTGCGGATGGGTGGAAGAGCACTTAGCTGTTGAGGAGTTGTACATGGCATGTCCCATCATTCGTCAATTATATACGGCCTCTTTTTTTTAACCATTATAGCTACCATTACATCATATATTTAGATATATTTAGTGGTTTCCGGAAAATGTTCCGCTTCTTCTCTAGTTGTGCGTCGTCTTTGAAAAACATTTCTGATCAGGGCATGCTCGAACTTCGCGAGACACTGCCTGGGAGTACCTGAGAAACTGTGAGTTTGAATATGCTTGCTTGCTCATTGCTCGGAGTTTCCCTTCTCCGTTGATGGGGCGTCTCCTCTGAATCCCAGGGCCACCTGCAGGTTATCACTTGAAACCTCCTGGAACCTCTGGAAGCTTGATACTGAAAACCAATTACTGTAAAACTAGTATGCTGTCCATTTCCATGATCTCCGTCTTCCCACTCATCCAAAAGGTCAACTGGCCATGAGCCCAAAGTAGCATCGTTTTCGCATCAAACCTTCTTTTGCTGGGTGTATTTTTGGGCACCCTATTGTACAGGACGCTAGCCTTCCAAGGGCAGCTGGCAGCATCTCCGTATCTTGCGGCAAAACAGGGCCCTCCTGGCGCCAATCGGTTCTCCTTCCCCGTCCTGAACGGCCTGGAACGTGCTGATAGGTGGGTGCAAAGTCCAATGGGCCTGGTGAAGCCGGACGGTGGGTGGTGACAGGTGAAGCTGAGTCCACGAACGCAACTGGTAGCCAGCACAAGTTAACAACAAGAAGTTAAGGGAACCCTTTTGGTTGCTCATAATCCGAGACACCCTTAAAATCTTCCGGACACGACAATGCTGGCAGATGCTGGACCACAGAATCAGAATCCTGCCTTCGCGGAAGTTGCAGAAGGCCTTCCCTTCCGCTTGCACCTGCGGGCCGGGCCACTGTTTCGGGAGGTTCGAAGAGAGAAATGCTCCGTGCTTCTTGGACTGGTGAGCAACTGTTATATCTAAATATATATGCATAATATATAGTTGAGCTATGTTGGGCTTGTGGAAGCTGTGGCACTCCTCATGTGAGGATTGATCAAAGTAGTTGCTTCATGACTGGCATCTGAGGTCAGGGAGTCATTCCAGCTTTGGGAGTTTCCCTGGTAGAAAGCATCACCTTGAAGAAGCCCATATGCACTTCTTCAAACATGAAAGATTCAAGCGAAACTGTTCAGTGGTTGGGGCACACCTTCAGCTCACACTGGAGAGGTTTCAACTCAAAAATCGCCTGGTCATGCCAGTCATGCAAATGGCTTTCATCCATTCCACGCAAATTTGTTGGAACTCAATTTTGCCCAAAACGTTTCTTCTCATGTGTCCATCCAAACCAGCCTTTAGCAACTGATCATGCTGCTGCAGTTTCCCCCAGGAATGGTCATAAATCATCTCCAGGCATTCCTCTCGGCCCAAGTCAAGGCGATAGTTCAGGTCACCTCGACACATGACGCACAGAACAATGTTTTGCAGGCGATGGCCCAACTTGAGGCCAGGGGGAGAGGTCGAAAGCTAGCCGAATCGCACCGGATGTACTAGTTACATAGTCGGCAAAGCATGTAGGGATGACATGTTTTGGGAGGAAGGTTGCTATGTACATACTTTGCGCTAAAGAATGTAAATGTGACATCGCTGACTGGGAAGGGTACATTGGAACAACCCGGGTGCACTCGTTGGCAGGCACGAAGATGCGTGATCGGCAAATCTGGGGGGTAAATTTACCCTCCGCTTTTGTATGCCTTGCGTCGGAAAGAGGGGTAAGCATTTCTGACATCATACGGACTGTACATACACTAGGGCGTCCGTAGTGTAGGGGAAGCACGGGTAAAAGGTATATGGAATAGAGTGTCTTGAGGAAATAGCCGGTGTATGGTTATTGCAAATCTGGGGGGTAAATTTACCCCCCGCTTATGTATGCCTTGCGCTGGAAAGAGGGGTAAGCATTTCTGGCATCACAAGGACTGTGCATACACTAGGGCGTCCGTAGTGTAGGATAAGCACGGGTAAAAGGTAGAAGGAGTAGAGTGTCTTGAGGAAATAGCCGGCTTATGGTTATGGCAAATCTGGGGGGTAAATTTACCCCCCGCTTATGTATGCCTTGAGCCGGAACGAGGGGTAAGCATCACAAGGACTGTGCATACACTAGGGCGTCCGTAGTGTAGGATAAGCACTGGTAAAAGGTATCAAGAATAGAGCGTCTTGAGGAAATAGCCGGTGTATGGTTATAGCAAGCCTGGGGGGTAAATTTACCACCCGCTTATGCATGCATTAGGTTAGAAATAGGGGTAAACAACTTGTAACGGTGAAGTACAAGTCCTATGCAGCAAGCAGCAGCCAGCAGCAGCAGCAGCAGCCGCCTGCAGCCAGCAGCCAGCAGCAACCACCAACCAGCAGCCAGCCAGCAGCACCACGCAGCAGCAGCGCAGCATCAAGCCGCAGCAGCAGCAGCACCACCGGCAGCAAGCAGCAAGCAGCAGCAGCAAGCAGCAAGCAGCAAGCAGCAGTAGCAGCGGCGTCGTCAGCAACAGCAGCAGCAGCACCAAGCCGCAACAAGTAGCAAAGCAGCAGCTACAAAAGCGGCAACCAGCGGCAGCAGCAAACAGCAGCAGCAAGCAGCAGAGCGGCAGCAGCGCGGCAGCAGCAGCACCCTTTACACCAAGCCACCGTTACACCCAACCAACCACGTTCACACGTTCAACCAACCCCCTACACGGCGCAGCTGGGAGTTGAACCGTTGAACCGCGGGGGGGGGGGGGTTAGCTTGATATATCAATCTTTAAGGCACGCAGCCCCTCCCACCACAACATTGCTAAAGCAAAGAAGAACTCAGCTAGCATGCTAGCTTTCGTGATCAATGGTTGCCATGGCCCTTTTTTCAACCTGGCACTGTTCCAAGTTTGTTGGAGACTGTAAAGTGGATTTTGACTGAATGTGTCTTTTTCAACTATAATATCTTAAATAGTTGTTCAAAATCAGTAGACATGATACTGATAGGCATGATACAGAAAATGCCGAAAACGCCTCCAAATCGAGAAAAAACACGGTGCAAATCGACAAGAACCGACGAATCCCCTCTGCAGGTATAATGGACAACAGGACTGTTATTGAAGGAAGAACTCCGGACAAGAACAGCTTGAAACAAAGAAGGGCTGCTCACAGAGTTCTTTTGTTGCACCCCTATCCAGAGTAGGCTCCAAAAATGGCTCCAAAGGTTCAAACTTCCGCTCTGTTTGGCCAATTCCCCGAGTATCTGTCCGCCCAGTGGCCCACCCAGATCACATGGTGAAACCTCGGTGGTCGAAATCACATGGTTCGGTGGCCGTACACCCTGCCTTCAAACAAAGCAGCTACCGTATATAGCAGCTAGGCCTTGAAGCGGCTCCCAGCTTAATCGGATTTGGAAGATGTGGATGCCCCCAGAATCGTGGCTTTTCTGTTTGCTTGCCCCGACCTACCATCATAGCATTCATCCTGCGGGAGGTGGCAGCAACCGGCCAAATTCTGATCTCACCATGCTGGGTCCAATGAGTGGGATTGGTAGCTTGAGAGCAGGGTGGTGGATGGTTCTGGAGATCTTTGACTGGACTCACATTCATGTTTCTCAACTTCCAACACCAATCACCTGACGGCTTTCGTCAAGGAAAAGCAGCTCAAAAAGCGAGCATCTGCAAGCCCATACGTTGGAAGAACCTCCGCTGTCAATGCCTAGGGCCTACTACTGTAGGCGTAGGTGCAAAAGACCTCCCATGGTATCCAGGCCTTCCAGTTCTGTCTCATAATGCTCACTCCCTTAGGCCTTAGACCAATCTGAACGCTCCAAGGTGCTGGTTGGTGAGTGGCATCTGCGAGTCAGTGGTCAAACAAATCCCTTCGATAATGTGCGCCGAGTCCAAGTTCCGTTGAACGACGTTGGCTTGATGGGCGGCCAAGTGTGAGGAGACGAAGCACAAGGCCTGGTCCCCGATCCAAAAGGAGAGCGCTAAACCTCCTGGCTGGGGAGGAAGATCTGCCGCATTGGGCGATCGGGACCGGTAACGCTCTGCATGGACATCCAGGAAAGCCTATAATCCACTCACTGGATGGGTCTACAACCACTGGTGTGCAATTGTCCCAGGTGTTTGTCTTCTTTTTGGAGGGTGGCATTGGCGATACTCATATAGATCAGTGTCCCGGCTCGTCGCTCTCCAATGTCCGGTTTCCACAAAACAGTGGTCCGCCATCTCAGACTGACCGTGAACACTTTGGCCCTTCCGAACTCTGACATGCTACCCTCATGCTACCCTCAGTGGAGCGCCACCCCCGTCCTTGGGTCGACCGGGACGACTCCGGTCCTTTGTTGGAATAAAAGCCGCCGAGGCCGGTCTCTTCGTGACTGGCCACCACGGAGTGAATGGATTTGCTCACCAGCTCAGTGGCTAAGAACAGAATCTGACCTCAACAGTTCAATCCTTCCAGGCGAAGACATGGGTACCATCGAATCAGAGCCATCCGGAGAAGGTGTTTGGGTGATGTTTCAGGTGTCCGTGGAGCCCAATCATGGTTGTTCACCTGTTAGACAACACAGGTCCGCGAAGGAACCAAAACGGTCTCCCACCGCGTCTTGAAACCAAGTCACAATGGCCCATGTCATGGCGGCAAATGGTCAGCAGCGATGGCAATGAGGCCTGCACCAAGTCACACCAGTCCTCCAGGCATGTGCCTCATGATCCGGCGACGCAGAGATTCTGCAACGCATCTTGTTTCATGCGTTGTCAACAGCTACAGCGATGCAAAACAGCTGAAAGGAAAGGAACAAAGACATTGAATACAATGGCTACATTATACGTGTGGGGTCAATGGTGCTACATGATGCCATTTCGAGATTCACACTCCAACTCGCTCCAATGCTCTATCAAAGTGGAACATGGGCGGCACTGGGCACAGCCTGGCACAGTTGCTTTGATGCAGTTGGTTGCTCTACCTCAAAGGTCCTAGATTTGACCATTCCACTGCCGTCGACTCTTTTAGAAATGACCCTTTTAGGAATGAGAGCCGGCGAATGCATCCCTTTAACGACGTTTTGTCAAAAACAAACATGGAGCATCACCAATCCATACCAATCCCCCATTCTGACGGGTCACGTGATCACCGAGAACAGGATCAAGTGCTTTAGCTTGTTTTGCAGCGAGATTGCTCTCCCCAATAAGTGGAACACTATGATTTGCCTATTTAGAAAGGAGGTTGTGCAGTTTCGTTGCAATGGTTAAGGTCTGATGGTCTATTTTTCACCTAATAAGCTAAAGCCCTCGTCAATACGTGAACCATCTGCACTTCATGTGCCCCATTTCCCGCCGTACTTCGTGCGCCACATCTCCACGGTGCTGTGACTGGGTCGAGGGGTGTAGTGACACTCCTCAACGCCCACCAAGTAGAGGTCACACCCAGCAGGCAGCCAGTCCTCGAGCTGAGCTGCGTGCTGCGCTGTGACATGAAAAAGGGACAACATCGATAAACAATTTAAAGCTTGTCTGACAAGTCCCCGACATTCCCTTAAAGCTTGAAACTTCCGCATCATACAAAAGTCCAAAAGTCTCAGGGTTTGACATGTTCATGTTCTCTGGGGGGCAAAAGTCTTAGTTATGGAAATCCCAAACGTTCAGGAGGCTTCAATGACCACACAAGATTGCTTCCTCTCGCTTAACAAAACTCATGCACACATGTCCACGACCTACGTCCCTAATTGGCTCAAACACCACACTATTAATTCAAGCAGCCACCATGCATGCCCAATGGGACATGGTCTCTAGTTGCATGGTTGCATATAAAACTAACAAGCGCGATTGATTGCAGTTACGTGCACATGTGCTGACTCTTTAAGTAAACAAAAGCTACAATCAAACCAACATGGACATGGCTTGGTTCGTGCGAAGAATGCCTTCCAGTCAACTGGTGCAAAAAACAATGCTTCTTTCATTCTCTCTCTCTCTCTCTCTCTCTCCCCTGTCGCGATCGGCGGGGCTTAGCCATCACAAGAACAGGATGATTGTTGGATTATGAACGATTATTTAGTAGGGACCTCTGTTGGGAACTATCATATATAATCCGTAATCCACCTCAGAACGCATGAGGAACAAACCTGAGTTGCAGTCTATGAGTCTATGTTCACCTCATTCCCTGTACAGTTGGTTTGTCGAATCCCCTCACTTTGGTACAAATAGATTTCTTCAGTGGCCCCCATTCACCTGTAAAATTGCCCCCCGTGCATTCCTGTCATTATTACTCCTCATCCAAGGCACTCGCAGATCATTGGGAGGTGCAGCATTCCCAAGGTTCCAAGTCCCCGCGAAGACCCGCAACTCCACCTTGTCTTGCTTTCCCCACCTGAGCAAAAATGTGAAAAACCGCCGCTTCAGAGGAAGGTAAGCGGGACTCCAGGGCGGAGAAAAGAAAAGCCCAGAGTGCAGAATTGTGACTTCAAACATCTGCAATCACTGATTCGAAAGCCAAATGCATGGTGCTACTCCCAGGGTGCCACTCCCAGGGTGCCAAGGGAAATCAGCCGACCCCCTGCCACCTCTCACTTGGGAGCTGTCACCTCATGTCTGAAGAAATAGTTAAAACACCAAGTTTGGACAAGCTGACCAAAACCAACGCACGAGTCTTTCCCCAAGCAAGGACTTCACTGCTCACTCTTTAACCCATCCCATAGAATTCCATAGAATTCCTATCCCTGTTGTTTTTCGCTCCACGGTCGGCTGTCCCGTTCTTGCTACGAGCAACAGCTCTTCGGGCCGCTTGCCGAAGTGGGTGGACGCCCGGATCTTGGTCCGTCGCAGGTGTTTGTAAGCTTGAACAAAGCGGCCACACGATGCACCCATAGCGGCGACAGGAGGCTAGGCACGGAGAAGCTTGTCTTCTCCGCAGGGCGTGGCTTGGGGGATTGGTGAAAGGGGGAAGTTGAGCTGGAGGAACATTGGCTTGTGCTTCTGCAAAGGGTCCCCTATCTAAGAAGCTTCCTTGGGCAGAATTGCCCGTCCCCAACGCTAGCACTTGAGCCAAGAAAAACCATGTACGCAACGTGCACGCAAAAAGGACATGCAACACCACAACCATCATGAGAACCTACATGTCCCCACTCTACACCTGAATGTCTTCAATTCTCAAATGACGCAGGTACTCCGAAATGATCCCCAATCCATGGCATCAGTGGGGGCATCACATCCGACCAAAAAGTTACACACCTCCTTCCCTTGGACTTGAATCACACCCACTGGGGGCGCTGGGACAAAAAAACGCTGGCGTCCGGACCAGCTGCGCGACCATGGCAGAGCCGCCATCCTGAACGGTCCAAAACCGACTAGATTGACTAGATCCCATATTTCCAAGGGAGAGCTGAATTAGGGTGTCAATTGAACGGCCGTGTCTTGCTACATGCTAAAGGACTGGTGATCCCTACAATTCCGCAGAAAACATCTTTACAAAAGTAAGGAGTTGAGGTTGGCCGCGTCAGGATGAAGTATGTGTATTCTACTGTATCGGTGATATTTTCTGGATTTTTCTGGTGGGTCTCCTATCCGATCTCGCCCAACAGGTCGAGCGCCCAGCCCGCCGCTTTTTTTCGTCCCCCTCGCTGACTGAGGCGGAGTGCTCCTTAGCGGACTTCCAATGACCTAGACCCTGCCCCCCAAGTGGCTTTGTGTGGGTGATGATGCCTACCCGACCCAAACAATATACATACAATGAATGCAGCTTTTTCTTGCTACATGTTTTTTGTGACTGTTGCAGCGGGGGGATCTCCCAAAGCAATCCGTTCAACATCGTTCTGCAAAGCCCGCTCTGGGTGCAGCCGAAGGGGAGAGGACATTCCTGCATAGACATTGAAACCTTTTCACACCGTGTCAGGTGAAAGCAGTTCCCAAGATAGTCTGTTGAGGAGCGTTCCGGGGGGGCGGTCCACTACTATCAGAAAATGATGCTTCCAAGTCCAAGCTGATGTGCGCAGGTCGAATTCAACAATGAATCTGTTCATGTTCATCATGTGTCGATTGCTGATGGGCAAATGTGGCACAACTCGAGACTTTGTGATCTTTGTGGCATTGTCCACCCACCTTGCCACATAGGCTCTATGATCCAGGAAAAACAATGGAGTGAAGGTAGGGTCTTGGGGCGACTGCGAAGCCAGGTCCTACTCCTCATTCATCTTGGATTCCCCTGCGTTGCCACTGTCACGTGGACAAGTGTTTGAAAAGCCTTTATTGACTGCATGATAAAACTCAACCCATTTTCGGTAATCTCATTCTTAGAATTTGGCAATGTCTCCAACCCTCACGGTTGCTCCCTTACCACCGCGATGGATATGCCCTCCACCCCCACGCAAGTGTACATCCCTGAAAGTTACAGGAAATTCTGAAGACAAATCCCCGCCATGATTTTCTCCCCCCTACCATCTACGCGCTTTGACCGTTGGTTTTCGTCACATCGCAACTGCTCTCCACGCACGTTTGCCAGGTTGCCAGCATGAGGCGGCTGTCCTGGCTGAGGACGCCCAAATCCTCCAGCGCGGCGCTCAACAAGTCAAAGTCCTGGCGTTCGACACCAGTTGGAAAGGTCGATTGCTTCAAAAGCCACCGACTTCGGCCCATTGTTTCAACCTGGCACTAGCCCACACATCCAAATCTGTTTGCTTTGCCATGCTCCAGCCTCTTCTAGCAAGTGTTGGCCTTGGTCCGCCATGCACTGAGTGGCCAGCCTGGTCAAGAACTTAAGCGGTTCGTTCATCCAATGCAAACTATGATTCATTTGTTGTGACATCTTTGGGTTGGATTGAAAAAAGATTGTTCGACAAACAACCGTTCTTTCTGACATGCTTTGGTACATTGACATCCACCGGGTGGTTTAAAAAAGAGTCAAGGGAAGTCAATGGTGAATTGTCATGCAGGGCATCGAAGGACAGAAAGATGACTGAGGTCACCCAGAAAACAAACAACTGAGTCTGGGGTGTTTCAATGAAAAAGGAAACAAGAAACATGCAATGCAAATATTGTTGCGACTGTAAAACTGTAAGCCCCTTTATGAACAAACTGCTACATACATTATGTGTATACATATGTATACGCTAACCTGATGATTAGAGTTTTGGAGGGTTTTACGAAGCAGGTTCTAAAATGTTCAACCTCCGCATTATAACATGCCACGCCACGTACATTAACTTCCAAAATTGAGGTGCCCAACCTTGAGCAACACACAAATAATTCTAGCTCTATGACATGACCAAATAAAATATGTTGCATATTTCTATGACATGATCATCCAACTGAATTGCAGAAATATCAAACCAAAAAGAGACTAGGACCATCAATTCAAAAAAAAAAACGGAAGAAGACGATCGACATCGGCACCGGCGCCTGACGTTCTGATTCACTCAATACGATCGTTGTTTTTTTTTGGGTGTTTTTACCTATACAAATTTGTGATGTCACCAGTATGTTCAAGCCGCTCCAAATCAGCTTCTCTATATTCAAATTGCATTCCAAATGATTTTTTATTCGACCCAGGATGACCTGTTTGAAAATGACCACTCTACAAGTACCATGTTCAGAATTTGGCCTATTCTTCATCCAGGGTACCCTCTCTCTATAGAGATCCATGCACCGAGTGTTACAAAAGCTGACTTGTTCCAAGCAGCTGAGTAGCATACTCCAAGCCTTAGCGCTGTAAGAACCTGCCTGCCCAACATAAGTCCCCATGCTCGCCTGAGCACTCCGGAATGTGCGAAGGACAGTGCCGCGCAAGCTCGTGCAACCTCTCGGCTCGCTTTGAACAGCGGATGGTTTCCGGTCACCCGGGAGAATGAAACACCAAAGCTTCGTGGTGCCAGTGTCTTTCTTCCATGAACTCCTTAGGAAACACCACACCCAACCCCATCGAAACCCAGCCTTCACCACCAAAGCAGGGACCAGCTCTGGTTCCTTGGTATTGCTGGCGTCGTTTTCAAAAAGCATTATCCAGGTGTATGGGCCGAACCGGCCTTGATACTGCTGTGGCACAAGCAGGAGCAACAGCGGTAGTAGTACGGTAGTTAATATCCAAAGAGCAGGAGAATTGTTTTTCTGGCGCCCTGCTGCTCCTTGTTCCTCCTGCGCCTTCCGGTTGGTGCTTGAATACTTACCGTTATTGTTGCTTCTGGGTGGTCGAAGCAGTACCAGCATTTGTGTCTGCAACTGTTGGTGCTGTTTGTTGTTTCAACACTTAGGACCTTCCGAAAGGAACAAGGCTAGGTTAACCCAAGGGACTGAGTGACTAAGTTAAGGCCTTTGACCACCATGGGCCAAGTGCGAAGTCTTCGCCTTAGCCCAACCGCAACATTGGTGTGAACTTACGTTGCAATTAGTTGGACATGCGCTAGGTCCAGGTGAATTTGGGCCTGATGAATGAGCGGCCCATGTTCGTATGCCTGACCATGTTGAGAACTGCTTGGTGCCGATGGCAATTGAGGCAGTATCTCAGCATGCTACCTCAAACAGTTTGGAGTACGTACAGCAGTTCTTTAACCTACCTTGGAGCTAGCTCTTTTGTGAAGGCATTCAGTGGCCAAAGAAGAAGGGGCCACTCGGATCTTTCTGAAGCATTGGCCAAAGCTAATCACAATTCCATGAGCTGACGCAAAGGTTTGTTGATGGAACAGGCAAACATGTTGCACACATTGGCAGGCCGTATGGGACCCCAAGGCAAATAAGTAATATAGTCATAATTACTCCTGAGTCTTCAGAACTTTCAATCGGTCGCATGGAACTGAGAGGGTCTATGTGGGTCTCAGAATGCGGGTGGGTCTTTTGCAAAATGTGACATGTCCAGTTTTCACTCAAGACCCGAAGAGAGTGGCAAGCCCTGAGACTTGTCCTGGGTGACTTGCTGTGACTTGTTCAGTTTTTTCTGATTGCTTCTAGGATTCCCTGGCAGCGATGGCATCGCAAAGCAGTTCCAGTGTGCCAGGGTGATAAATCAACAGCCGTGCGTAGGCCTGACGCAAATCAAACTCCAATGAGCAGTGATTGACGAGTTGTTTTTGACGGTTGAACACCAACTTCCCGGGTGCTTTTGTGCTCTTGATTCCGGGGAAGTCCTGGGGGACGTCCCCTGATTTGAGACGAACATGCAATTGCTGTAGCCACGGAGTCACGAACAGGACCTTTCAGTGATTTGATGATCAAACATCCTTAAGCTACATAGCCTGCTGTTTGGTGTGTCACTTTGGGCAGTTTTGCCGTGATATGTGACCATCCTGAACCTGGACCGCCTTCCACAGATTTTCACAGCACGTCAAACTGAGGGATGTCCGTCTGTCCGGAACTGCCTGAAAAGCGATGACTGATACTGTTGGCCAAAAAGTGAAAGTACCTCTTATCATCAGGGATTCACATAGATTGCTAAAGCAACGCTGGGACCCGGGTGCGGGGCCATAGAGCATAGAGCTTACCCCCTGAAGCCCAGAATCTTCGGTCTCCTCAGCCCGGCCCACCCCAGCTCGGCCGCGCGCGGTGTCCAGCACCTCCAAGAGTCCAATCAATGAGGAGATCTTGGGGAGGGGCGAGCTTGGCGTGGTGTCCTCATCGTCGAGCTCCTGTGAATGGGCTTGGTGCCTCTGCCCTCCTAAGGTCACATGGACAAAGGGCAGAATTCGAGGGTTCCGACATGTTGCTCAGTTGATGTTTTGATGACGTTGTGATGGGCTACAAATCATGACACGGTTCAACCACCACTGAGTTGAACACCGATACCATTTGTGTGCTTCTAATTGTATCTCCCGTAGTACTGTACAGTAATCAATTGGTGGGCTTAAGGAGTCCGGCAGGACAAGTGTATGGCCGCCCTGCCCAAACCGCCCCTACCCGATCGGCGGGTGTGACAGGGATCAGCAACTGTTCCCCGAGAGGGGGGTCCACCTAATTGGGTTTATATTCTTAAGCTCTTCTGTTCCCGCGTGTTCCTCTGTTTGATTACTATCTTGAGGGGGCTCCTGGTCCCCAAATTCAGTCCAAATAGTATAATAGCAGCCACAAAGTTATACAGTAGTAATACTATATTAATTATGGTTATATATATATATGGATGGCAACAAAACAGCTGGGCTCAGTAATCTTGAGCAAGGGCTGCTGCAACCTCATTCAACTCTCGTTTGAAGTTGGCCCAGCATTGCTTCGATTAAAATCCGAAGATTGCTGGATTCCTCCTAGCACCGTGTGGGCTGGGGTATGTTGAATTCAATTCAGACATCGGACATCTAAAATTTCCCGGTGCTCGGAATCCGCAACTATGTCGAAATTGACACAGTTGCAAAAACGGCGTGCAGCGGAGGTCTTTCAATCCATTTCTGACAATTGCTACAGCGTATGAGAATCGGTGAGCATATATGAACCTTTTGCCGTAGGAAATTGCTTTTGGAACTGCATCCCATGCTGGTTCAGGGTGTCTAGACTAATTGCTGAATGCGGAACATGGCTGCATTGCTCCTCCTCTGCATCTGCCAGCAACGCTTGTCGTTCTTCGACCTGCGACATGCAAAGGCAGCATTGACGTTCAAACTCCATGCATGTGGAATGATAATTATGCTACATGCATCTGAAAAACTAGCAAGCACTTGCATGGACCAAGACCCAATGGACACATGCACTTTGCGCGCACTTGTTCAAGGGAATTGATCTTGTTCAGCACACATTGAAGTAGAACACTGCCTCTTTGCAAAGGGAGACCCATTCTTCTATCAACAGCATGCCACCCATGAATTCTTTGATATGTCCTAGGTCCTATACCTGTCACTCGTCACTGCTGATAGATTGGCATTTGCTTTAAGAAAAGCGTGCCATCTGAAAACCATATCTGTGGTTCCCCATCTCATGTTCTGGAAGCTTTGTCTATCTGCTTTGCACAGTTGTCGGGGGTCGAGGTATGAGAACAAAACACCAAAGATTCAATGGCCAGTAGAATCAACTAGAACGAGCGTTCATAACTTCCATTGCAAAAACGACAAGAGCGATGCGGGTGCCGAGTTGAAAGGTCCTGTGTAGCTGCAGCTCCTGCTAGGTTGTACCGTTGCATTCACCCAGGTAACACCTGGAAAGCACAACATACACACCAAGGTCATCACAAGCCATATGCTGTCGGCACCGTGCTACTCAAGGGACACTCTCTCCCCCCAGAGCGAACAATGTTCACTGCTGCTTTATGAACCCCCCTACCTGGTTACCTGGATTGTCAAACATTTCATACGCACACACACACAAAATACTATAATACGTACGTATGTACAGTATGTATAAAACATATGGCACCTTTTTCCTCATCCACCATCCGCATGATATGGTGGTCCTGGGACCATTTCCGTCCCCAGCTGGCCAGCCTCCGCCAGCACATGGCTTGGCAAAGCGGTGCTGATGGAGTCGAAGAGCAGCGTGTGAACCATTTGGAAATGCCCATAGGCCCGTCCGACCTGAGATGCGTCCGACGCCGTGCGCGCGGGTCTGACGCTGGACGGCAGACTGGAGCTCCAGACGCGCCTTGACCCCGCGGCTGGACGGGTGGGAGGTGTAGCAACCTGGTGGGGATAGACCGGTGGCCAAGTGGTGTTGTAGAAGAAAACTGACCGATTCTGCAAATCCTCCCTGACCGATCCTGAAACTGTTCATATTTGCAGTGGCCCATCCTTGGGTCATCTCCACTGCGGCGCCTGCCTTTGAGAGCAAACCAATTGTAAAGGAAACGCGCACAACACCATAACCCCTCTGGCTCTTCAGACCTTCAGTGCTTCGCATGTGAAGGTCGACAATGTCTGTGAAGGTCGACCGCGTGGACCCCAAACAATCCATGTACACTCCCGAAAACTAACCATAGACCCTGACTGTCTGGCCCCCTGGAAGAGTGTTTGCCTCTACCAACCAGTGGTTTTCAGGGTCTATCTTAGTCTTCCAGGGTGTATGTCCAAGTTACCCATCTGTCTGACCATCTGCCATGTCTGACCCAAACGTTGCCATGTCTATAGGGACGGGCCATCGGGAAACAAATGGATCTCTAACAATAAACATTCTTGGTGGGAATTGCATGCGATGTGTCTGAAAAAGCAGAGGGACCCACAGTTGTTTGCTTTTACCTTGAGCAGATGGTATGCTACATTCTGAGCCGTTGCCAAACCTTGTCAGTGTCCCAGGCACTTCTCAGTGCAGCTGGGTTGGGCAAGCGGGTTCTGTTCTGAAATCCTTGAATCATTTCACAATCTCTCGAGCAGTATGTTATAAGAGAGGTCTAGATTGCTTGAACCCACCCCACAAAACCCGGAACTTTTTGGGCTGCATTTCACACTATGCTGATGATGCGATGTGGTTGAAAGTTTATGAAATCCCAGAGATTCCTAAAGAAACTAACAAATCAACTCAAGAGGGCCCGTGATTGGCCAAACGCCTTCAAAGGCCACCACTAGTAGCCGGAATCACCAGAAAAGTGTCAGGGCTCCTCCCCCCTAAACTAAACCAAAAAAAACACGAAGGATCACGAAGGTACAAAAAGAACGTCGAATGAAGCACAATGATGTGGTGGCCCAAAGTCATTTGGTCAATTTCCTGTACCAGGCCACCATGCAAAGCTCATCTGTGGTGTAGGCCTTGATGTTCTCTGTCACGTGGTCCGGGGCGTTGTAGAAAAGCACGCCTCGAGCAAAAAGCAAACAATGTTTAAATAGTTTGAGCACATTTCTCTGGTTTATTGACGCTTTCCATTGCCGGATTTCGATTCGAGGCGCCATGCCGAATGTCCACCTCCGAGAAGGAGAAAAGGAACGAGGCCAAAGCCCGTGGATACAACCTGGGCGAGGACCGGCCGTGGGCGTTCCCATATCCGTCCATCGAATCTATGATTATGAAATATGGAATATGTATGGAATATGTCTGATGTCTCGATATTATATCTATCAATATGAATCCGTCAATCGAATATGCACCCTGGGTGCCTCCTTAGGAGGCTGGAGCGCATGCAGCAACCAGGCGCTCAATAGTACAACTCCGGCCTGGGCCTAGTGTGCTTGGAAAAATCCGAAGCTAGCCGTGCGATCCTTTGATTCTTGCACCTCGGTGCTTGTTTGCTTGCACCTCTACTGACATCAATTATTATGTTATACTCCGCTGTTGTCTCTCCGGTCTGACATGCCCAAGTGAGAGGCTCCGAGGCGTGGCTACAAACGTAGTCCCCAATCTTGGCCTTGGACGTCAAGGAGGTGGGGAAAATCACTGACCCAATTCGTGCTATCAGTTTGGGTTTCAAGCACTTTTAAGCTGCGTCAAATTCGCAAACGACGTTCAAAGGTCGCTGGGATTCAACACCTGCGATATTGAGAACACCAACACCTCAATTGAGCTTACGACATCTTTAATGCACACTTGAAGGACCCAATGTAAAGCGTTCAAAGTGCCTCAAATGCTCTTGCTTCAATATAGCATAACGAGCACCAGCAACTGACAAATATCAAATAAATATTGAACACATATCACGATATATAACGATGTCAAAACACTTACATTGCTACATAATCAGTCACTATGGAATCAAACTCTGCAGTGATATATGCACAACGTCACTGTAGAAAATAAACTCTGCAAATCATTCCCCACGCGCAAGCGGACTCTCCCCAACCAACGGAGGCCAAAGCTTCAAAAAGCGCCTCATCGCTCTTCCGTGCTTTGGCAAACGCGCTGGAAATCAAGCACAAGGAATGAAGATTATGCCCACGGATGCGTCGCGGGATGTCTTGTGCAAAATAGTCCTTGGATCTGAAGAGGTGGGCCACCCGCTGCAAACGAAATGCCGGAGCCCCTTTCCATCATTTCCATTCTATCCACTTTGAACATGCTTCAGGTGGACCCCCCACAAAAATCCCAGTGACTAACAAGCCTCCAGGCAGTATCAGCTGCCGGTGAATCTCAAATGAATCTACCCTGCATTCCAACAGCGTCAACGCGTTAGAGGGTCCCTTGGAAGACTACCTACTGTCCTCTTCTGTCCGAAAAAAGTTCCACAGGTGAAAATACCCTTGGGTGAACCTGCCATCCGAAGCTCAAAGAGCAGGGGATTGGACATCTGCAGCCTCGCATGTGCATTCAGCAGCAGCGCGATCGCCTGCGGCTCCAACTCACCACGTCGGCGGAAGGCCTCATCTCCCAAGAGTTCCAGCAAGAAGCCTCAGACGTTTGTCAGAAGAGGAGAACATGGGTGGACAACCCTGGTAGGTTGATCATCTCTGGTATCGTGCCTTCTATGTTAGTTTCGCATGATCTCGCTGGCCGGAAACTCACAAAACATGACGGGCCACACCTCAAGAGGATAACACTGCTCACGCGTTCTCGCATGCCAAGAGGCGATTGCGGACACCAAGTCTGGCATAGGCATTGGCCACTAATGCCAACCTCCGAACAAAGGCACAACGAGAGCAGCTCTCTCGAAAAGACCAACATAGGCCCTCCGATAGTTTTGAGGGGACATCAGTCCGAACGAAACCATCTGCATGGCTCACATTTCCACATCGAAGCACCCTGTGTTGGTAAAAAGTTGGCGACAACAACAAACTTCAAGGCGTTAGGGTTTGCTACGCCTATCAGCGAAAAGTTCAAACCACAAAAACACTGTGATACACTGTGTGTATCCAGTGGCCGCTCCTTGTCGGTTTCAAGAAACTTGTCGGAGTGACCACCCATTTGGGGCACCAACACCAAGCCGTTCTTCATGTTTGTTCATAACATTGATGTGTCTACATTGCGTGCTGTAACTTGCTGCATTATACTTATAAGTGCACCACTTAAAGCTTAAGTGCTTGTATGCTCAGGAGATTTGATCCAAACTCGATGGGTCGAGGAGTGTTTCTTGCCAATTCCTTGGTGTTTCCAGGTGGATGGAAACAACTTACAAGACTCCACTGGCCCATTGGGCAATTTGGATACTAGCTTCATATATCCCTTGTCTATCTGTACACTTGGTGCAGAAATCACCCAAGTTGAGCCACTGGGAGCTCCTCTGGGGGGTTGTCCTGATCTACCGTTTTCGGAGTTCTGCATGGCAAAGTGCTTGAACTCCAAGACAAGCATAATAGTGTGCCAAACAAGTAGAAAGTCGAATCCCTTTGAAAAACAAACATGTGTTGGCATGTGTTGGCAACCAATTTCGCATCTATGCATCAACCAGTATGGAAGTACTGCTGTGGAAATCCCTCTGGATGATTTCGGCTCCCGGCTGCCTCTGCCGCTCCCGGCTTTCCCGAGTTTTCCGGCTGCCGAGACACGACTTTCCCTCGAATTCTCCAATCTTTCGACAGATCTCCGAGGCCAAGATGGCAAAAAAACGCTCGTCGCCTTGCACGAGCGGTTTTGGCACAAAGAAACTGGAGAGAATCTGCGGAGAGAGTCATTCAACCAAACCCGGATATCTTTTGTAGTCAATCATAGTATATCATCGTTAATCTATATTCATTGATTTCCAACCGAGGTCCCTCTCTAGTTGTGGAGCCGGTTCCTCCCCTGGATATTAGTTCCTCGTGCATCGTAATTGTTCAGGGTCGAGTCGTGCCCATGGGAGCACAATTATATAGTATATATACATTATAACTATAATACAGGGGGCGTCCTCTTGCAGCTTGCGGTGACAATGTTGGCGGGGACAACCATAAGCTTCTGCAATCAGTGATGTCAATCAATGTAGAAATTTCTTTAGCCAACAGCACAGCCACCGCAAACGGGTCAGGCACATTCAGGCACAACATCTATTGATCCAATGTTCGATATGGGGGAACAAGGAGGCAAACAAAGAGAGAGATAGAGAGAGAGAGAGATAGCAAAAGCCAAAGCGAACAAAAAGATAAATAATTAGCTTGTGATTGACAATTGCAACCACCTTGGAGAAAACGGCTGACGGATGTTTATCTCCGTGGTTAGTGAAACACAGTGAAACATTCTCCGGAATGCCATGCAGCTGCCGCTGCTCCGCAATGCCAACCCTCGGATGAAAGACATCCAGGCGGCTCGTGTTGAGGCGAGCAAAGCCATTGGCGATGAGTGCCAAATGCCAAGGCCGCATTGCACGGATGACCTGCATGGCTTGGTTTCTTCGAAGAACCTGGACAGCTATCGACCCTTCTAATGTTGACTGCTAAGGGCACCAAATCCAGAACCGAAGGGGGAACAGCAACTGGATGATGAACCCCCCAGGTCCATCAACCCAAACAGGGATCAAACACAAATATATTGATACCTTCATATCTGATGGGTTGAAAAAAAATTAATGGACAAATTGCATCTTGCATCATCTTAATATGATAATCTTGAAACCATTTCCATCTCCTCGGTATCTTGTCAGGTCTCTCAATGGCGATCCACTGGTGACGCGTTGTTCGGCCTCGATCATCCTCTTCTTCAGCACATCCAGAAGCAGCTGGTGACGCAGCTTGAGCCGAGCATAGGCGTAGACCTTGACGCAGCTGTGCCGCCAAAGCTTGATTAAAACATGGATGAACAAACAAATGCATGATAAGACCGAAGACAAGGGGAACGGTCAAACCTTTTGGAGTCATGGGTTGGCCCCCCTGATGTTTGGTTGAATGAGTTGAATCCTACTGATGTTTGGTCCCTGTGGTCCCTGTGTTTGCGGCACAATTCGGCTACCAAGGAGCCAGTTCTCCCAACTGAGCCGCGTTGAAATCATGGAGTTTCCTGCGGGGTGCAGGCCTATGGGATCTTTCTGGGGGTTGGGGGTGGGGTCGTGGTATGACATGTATCCAGGAACTTGGGAGGAATAGAGATAAACAGGTACAGTATGATACAGTTACTTGTATAATGATTACTGTTTTGTAAATTGTAAGTGACCGTGATCGTATTGGGCAAAAACGGCCACGGAAATAGAAGCGCCAGGAGTCACAAAGGCTAATTTACTGTTCAGTATATGTATATATATATTATATAATCGCCTCATTTGGATTGTAAACCTCGATTGTTGAAAGCAAGAGTCTACATTACGGCAGGAGCCACTGGGTGTGGACTTGCACAGGACCCTGCGTTTTAGCAGCGACCCTGTGATTAAGGAATCTGGTGTTTCGGGGGTCTTTTTGGAGAGCATGATGGACACACAACTGCCCGGAGCACCGGTGAGGGAGTTCTGCTCAGATTCATAAGAGACCCAAATCAAAGGGAAGGGCTGTAATTAAGGCTTTTCAAGTCACAAAACAATGCTAGAATCTGAGTTTCAGAACAAAAAATTTAAGATCTGAGCAGCTAGTTGATGGCCCTCAAACACATAGTTGGATAGTCTACACACTGTAAATCTACCGTGGGTTTCCCTGAAATGGACTTCTGAGCCTTCTCCGCTCGCTCCACGTGGCGCTTGGGACTTGGGACTCGGACTCGGAACTCGGAACACTCGCTCGGGACTTTCTGTTGGCACGGGGGCTCGGACTCCGGAAATTCTGGGGTGGCCAGAGCGGGGACCCGGCAACAATACAACTTGCAGGATCAGGACCCGGACCCCATACAAGAAAACATAAGATTCTAAGATCCTTGGCAAACTTGGCAACATGTAAAACGATGCCATGGCAGGATGAACACCACTTGACATAATCATCCCATAGGTCTCGAACCGCATGGTTTGGATTCTGGATTGGGCGCACAAAAGTAGACCACACGCAGTCAGTCAGTCACTTTAGAACTTCATTTGGTCTACTACATGTGTCAGCTGCGCTTCGCGGTGCCCTTGAGCTGATGCAGCAGTCGCAGTCACTGTTCGATGCTATCCGAGCTGCTCACGAGTGCTTCTTGGCAGTGAGTGGTTGCATCTTCTCACATGGATGCTCAGAAACAGTGGCATCGTTTACAGAGGGGATGAGTTTGCTCTCCCAAGCTTGCAAAGAGGTGTGGTTTATTTGACCAAATTGGAAATTTGAATGTAAAAATAGAAGTTGGATAAGGGACAGTTGGACCATTGGAGTTGGAGTCGGTGCTTTTGTTGAGGGAAGGTGCAGTGTAAGTGCAAGTTCTCAAATCTTCTACCCCAGCACTACTACTGTAGGCTGATCACTGCCTCCGCAGTCTCTTTCAGTTTGGACGCCCTTCGAAGTTTCCCTCCAGGTGACAGAGTTATCCGATGGATCAATACAACGGTTGAGGAAACACCATCTTGGCACAGGGCGAGCTGCATATCCTTTGGAAGAAGTGTTTCACTGTGTTCACATGTGGCTTGGCACCAGTGTAAGTGTAACCACAGGGCCTTAATCTCAGGCTTGCTTTGTAAACAGCCCCAACCGTGTGTCGTGTAAACATTTGCGCAAGCCTTCCAGCCTTCCATCGGCCTTCCATCATCTCTAACCCAGGACACAGAAACTTCGAAGGGCATCCAAATTGAAAGAGACCGCAGAGGCAGTGATTAGACTAGTGCTGGGTGAGAGGATTGAGAACTTGCAGTTTCCAAGCGAGTCCACCCTCTCCCGCAGCAAATCGAAGCTGGACATTGCACAAATGCTGATTCGACAACGGTTTTGGGACAAACACGTAGTATGATTCAAATGTCATATAGGTATGCAGGTAGGCAGCTGCCAGGTGGTCAACATACAGACGGACTACTCACCAGTGACTTAGGACTTGTCGGACTGCCAAAAAAATCAATGTCCTAACTCATGAAGAAAAGTACTGTTTGACCAGTGTTTGGTCCACAACTCCTATCTCATAAAGCCTAGCAAGGCAAAACAGGAACGCTCTTGAGTTTTTTGTTAAACAAAAAATGGTGTGCCCAGGGCCCAGGGCATGTGTGGCCGGATGCCAACACATGAGATAGGACTTGTGCTGGTACCAGTCCATGTCATAGCATGTCCTTGGATGTCCTTGGATGTCTGTGCATGGCTACATTATGGTTGCTTAGGAGGTGACTGAGATAGGAGGTGACTGTTTCACAATTAGTGTTTCTCTGTGACAGATTGTGGACAATTGTGAACTTTTTGTGGGGACGATTGGATACTCAAAGTCTTGACTCACCAGTAGGTAGTATATGCATAGTTATATGTGAATGTGTGTGTGTTTGCATTCATCCTCCAAGAAGGAGTATGCAAAGTTGGGGCCGGCTTTGCAAGAGATCCTGAATCGGTTCCAACTTGTGGAGATGATGTCTGCTGACATGAGACAAGAAGAAGACAACAAGAAGACAGCGTCTGCCGTCTATGAGCTCTTGCAACAGGATGAGTACCTTGCTGAGAAAATGATTCTTCCAGAGGAATTGCACACCATGGGCTTTCTGGAATGTACAAGGGCAAACTTTGACTACCTTGATTCCGTTGAATCTGTGCCTCAGGCTAATTTTGTGGGTTTTGTGATTTCACAGGACACCCACTGGGGAAGTTGAAGCTCTGATTTTTTTTTGGAAGTCAGAGTCAGAGTCCGTAAGGTCCGAGTTTCTGGCAACAACCACCTGCGAGCTCTACAGATTTTCCTGGACATTACTGATGCGGCTCTGCAAGCGGTGGCCCAACATCAAGCCCAGATCTCTGCCTTAGAGAAGGCAAGGAAGGAAGAAGCAGAGTTCATGAAAAAGGAGGAACGTCGGCTACAGAAACAAAAGGAAGATGAACAGAAGAAAGCAGAGAAGAAAGCAGATAAAGAGGCGAAGAAGAGAAAAGCTGAAGAGGCCAAGGCCCTGGCGGCCGAGGCCAAGAAGAGAGCAGGCCCTCACCCGGATGAGCCTCAGGACGAGGAGAAGCCAAAGACTGGATCTGGAAAGGCAAGGAAAGGGAAGGGAGCAGGTGATTTGTCAGAAAGCGATCATGCAATTCTCCGCGCCAAACTTCCTGGTCGGGCTGTTCCAGTTCTGCGGGATGGCAAATCGTTTGTGGAGACAATTGCTTTGGGTGTTCCCTGCATTTGGCGGTGTACGCGGTCATGCTTGAAGAAATCGCTGGAACACCATGGATCTACAACCAAGGATGCAACCACTGCTTGCATTGGTGTGTCTGCTGACAAAACCCAGTTTAGCGCAGAATTTGCTGAGATTATGGAGGCTGGGGGACATGGGCTGGGAGGTGGATGTGGTGTATAATATTGATTTTCCTGTTTACATTTCTTTATTGGCAGTGTTTGACAACAACATGTACAGTACTACTAACTACCTTTCTTTTCTACAATGTCAATTGCCAATTGTCAACGCTCACTTTTTTGTAGTTGACAATGCATTGGGCCAACAACAGCCGCCAGACAAATCCCAACAAGACCAAGAAGATTCGCCCACTAGCAGATACATGCCAAGATCTGATTGGAAGCCTGAGCTTGGATTTCCTGCTGGAGGAACACTTTGCAGAGACTCTGCCAACGCATCCCACTGCAATTTTGGATGTTGATCGGGTGGTGTCCAAAACCAGTGACCTGGGCAGGGCTGGGGACACAGATGTGCCAGCGAGTGTCCAAGCAGAGATCACAAAGTTCCAAACCATCTTCATTCAAGGGTTTCAGCGTGGGAAGAGCTTCACTGGAACCCTGCCTGGTTGCACAGCCAATGTGCAGTACCAACTTGAGGGCTCGCGTGTGATGGTCTTTTGCGACATGGCAGAAGTGTCTTGCAAAAAAATGGGACAGTGACTCAGTGACCAGTGACCAGGGACGGCTTTAGGCATTTGTGAATCTAGTCTAGACTTGAGTAGGGTGAATCCAGTTTTGTAATTTGTGCTTTGAGACTCGCGGTGTGGCCCTGCTGGCCTGCTGGTGTGTTTTTTTCTCACACCTACCTTACCATTGTCTCAGGTGAATAGCCTGGTCTCGGAAAATGATGAGAGCCTCAGCGGTTTTGACCACTTTGTCAAATGTTGCACAGCGCTGGAGCAGCTTACGGATGAACATGATGAGATCTCCAAGATGTGGTCTTTGTGTCATGGTTGGCTGAACCCGAACGATGTTCCTTGTCAGTTGCTTTACTGGGTGTCTAATCAGGTCTGGTCTGGTGTAAAAGGGTTGGCCCAATGCTCATGACTCATGACCTTTTACCAAGGCCATCTAGAACTTAGAAACCAAACTGTTGAACAGTTGAAGTGTTGGCTCAGGTTTTGTGGATGCCGCCTGCAACCGTGGTTGTCGAGAAGGCTGTCGCACAGAACAACATTTGGCTCAAGGTGCCATCAACTTTTATGTGCTATGACAACCTTCCTGGCTTGAAGTTGGCAACACAAGTGTTCCCAGAGAAGCTGAGCCGAGCTGAAGAGCTTCTATGTTTTTCATGGTTTCTTTGTATGGCTCCATGTTTTGACACCCATCACTCGATAAGTGCCGCTGAAAGAACAGGTCAACAACGGTGAACATATATTTTTTGTGAACTTGAAATTCCAGATTCCACACACATCCTCACAAAAACGACATATGTTAATGATAATGTTTATATTTATATATTCAATTTGAAGAAACACAATCAGTGCTGACCGGTCTGAGGCAAAAACTTCCACAAGGGATTCTTGATGTCATCGAGGATGACTATTTGGGCTGGAAGGACCAGGAGGCCCCTGGTTTCCTGCCCACACTGTATCCTTGTATACTAATCAAAGACAGCAATAGGTACCAGTATCAACATACGTATTGCTTTGCTTAAGAGGTTCCACAGCGATGTTGACCTTTGACCACCGGTCGCCTGATCCCAGATGGAACCATTTCGTGTCCGAGTTGGTCGCGCTCGTGCACAAGGGGGACAGCAAGAAGCAGCGGCAGCGGCAGCGGCCACGGGGGTAAAGGTGCCCAAGCTGCCAAAGCCAAAGGTTTGGGGTGAGGAAGAGGATTTGACAACCATGTTGGCCAGAACCATACCCAGGGGCCAAAGTCCAAAACAGGTTGAACGTGATCTGGCTGATCTACAGGAGTACCATCCTGATGAGTTCAACAGAAGGGAAGCTGTAGATCAAGAGGTTTCTCAGCAAATGGAGAAAGCATTGTCTGCCCTCCAAGCCTTGGACGAGCCATGTTTTTACTTCAACAAACCTGTTTAATTCAATTCAACTCCCTTAAAACTTAAGGCTGTCCTACAGCCCACGCCTACTCCTATGACCTGACTCCTAGTTTGTTGGTTTGTTCTTCAAATTCAAGGGAGAGAACATGGTAAGTCTGTAGCGACCAAATAGCCTGAGAAAGTGATGCCAACCACTCCGACTCCTACGCTTGTTGAGGAGATTCCTGGCAACTCCAGCAGCATGGTGGATGCTCCGTCAGAGGCCCCTTCAGCTGGGAAGACGGTGGAAGTCGTTACAGAGCCTGCTGTGAAGCGTGAGCGGCTGCAGCCCCCAACAACAAGCAGCGCTGAGGATCCTGCTCTAGCAGTCCCTACGCA